AAAACGCGCAGAGAACACAGGTCTGACTAAGAGACTCAACTGAGAAACGATCCAGTAGCACACCATAACAGTCTATTGAAGAGTTTGAATTCTAAGGCACTTGTCATTCCCAAAAATACTACAGGGGTTGCCCTGAATGCACTTGCTGCAGCGTAACCTGAATTACAACCAAGGCTTACTCGAAGTAACAAAACTTCACTTTGGCATTAAGGGGAAAAATTCCGAAGGAGTACAATCAGGAACAATCACTCGAAAGTGTAAGGGGGAACCGTTCAAGTATCTAACTAGTAACTAGCTCTGAGCATCGGCAATCACCCGCAGGTGTAGATTCGAACTACTCAAGTCTCTAACCAGTGTACTAGCTCTGAACATTCGGCCGAAGGCCTTCAGCTACAAAATGCGGATCGCCAAGTTGTAGCTCCTCTTGCGCGGTGACAGAACTAAGGACACAAACACACAGAGAAAATGAGTTCCTACTCTGCACTTCCGAAACTAGAAGAATCCCAAGGCAAGACGCCTTGAACTACTTTATACCCTCTAAGTCCTAACTAACACTACACTACCTGCTATGGTGCGAGCCGCAACAGATCCTACACCTGAGGAGTCGGCGGCTGCCTTCCCCTCTAACTTACAACCTAAATTTAACCCTAACCCTTAATCTGAATCCTAAGCCTACTGTACAGAGCCGCCAGCGTCTTTAACTGCTTTACATCCAAGACCTGAGGCTGAAAATTTGCAGGCATGCGTGGCCGGCTTAGACCAAAATTCTCACCAAATTTCAGATCCATCCGACCGTCCATCGCAAAGATATGGGCTCCGCAAGATCTTTGAACCTAGGCCAAAATTCCTTCTCCAAAATCCGAGGTCCGGGGGACCCACATGCAGCTTGAATGACGTTTCCGCGATTATGGGTAACGGCCTGCTCCTCACGTGCGACTTCACGCCCCACTGTTCTGCTTCCCACACTTGATATAATCCCGCCAATTTCCGCCATCGGGAATCTTCTACCACGTGGCGCCGAAGGCGTACCGCCAAAGGCGTCTACCGCCGAAGGCCCTTGCCCGGAAGGCGCATCTTCCGACGGTTCTTCCGCCGAAGGCGCTTGCCCCGAAGGCTCCCTATGAGTAACTTCCGACACTCATAACTCATTGATCTATTATCCGTTCCAAGCGTTCTTGGACTCATTAGAACGAGCGTGTTGAGCTCTTTCCAACGAGACATTAACCAAGTCAAGGCGTTATGAATTGAGAAAGTTATGAGGAATACAGTCTTCCGCCGAAGGCACTCTCCCGCATCGCCAAAGGCGTAACCCCGAAGGCGTCTACCGCCGAAGGCGTTGACCCGAAGGCCCTCCCTATCAGTAATTTCCGACACTCATAACTCATTGATTGCTTATTCGTTCCAAGAGTTCTTGGGCTCGTTAGAACGAGCGTGTTGACCTCTTTCCAACGAAACCCTAATTAAGTCAAGGCGTTATGAATTGAACAAGTTATGAGGGATTCACTCTTCCGCCGAAGGCTTACCGCCGAAGGGACTCTTCCGCCGAAAGCCCTTGCCCCAAAGGCGTCTACCGCCGAAGGCGCATCTTCCGGCGGTTTTTCCGCTGAAGGCGCTTGCCCCGAAGGTGTCTACCGCCGAAGGCATACCGCCGAAGTCGCTCTACCGCTGAAGGCCCCCCATCAGTAACTTCCGACACTCATAACTCAGTGATCTCTCATTCGTTTCACAAGTTCTTGGGCTCGTTAGAACCAACGCGTTGAGTTCTTTCCAACAAGACCCTAAGTAACGCAAGGCGTTACGAATTGAGAAAGTTATGATTGATCTACCGCCGAAGGTGCTCGAAGCGGGTCCTGCAGCATGAACCGCCCGTTCCATCCCAAGCGTTCGACTGTGGCCTAAGCCCAAAACCCCTTGACTGTACTCGATCCTCTTTTTACTCTGTTTTTGCGTACCGAACAACTATTTACAGCCGCTACCACGGTACTTACTATTCAAAAATGTTTTAGTTCCGACGAAAAACAAAAAGTGGGTTACCACAGGATTTCAATGTCTTGTAAAATATGGCCTTCGTGCTGCTAGTTTCTAAGAACAAAATTCTTCACATAGTATCACTTTGTTGACGTTATCATCTTTCGAAGCCACTACAAAATTACTGTTGACTTCATTCACAAATACTACGTCTGCCTCAAAGAAAATTCAGTGAGAAAGAACACAATAAACGAAAGAAGTAACGTCTGTCTGACTATCTAATGCAGATTCGAGCCCTTGAGTTAAACTTGCGGCTTGTATCACATAATCTGCACAGAGTTCGTGCAATATATGTCACTTCTTGAAATCTTTTGTTTAACTGTTATGATGGCTCATGGCTGGCTGCTCATTCATAGACACGTTGCCGAAGACGCTGCTTTCAAAGTCGACACATTTGACACGGATAGATATTTCAAGTACCACCCGCGGCCTCTATTGGGATGCCAAACGATTCTACATCCTCTGTCTGGCCTGTCTTTGCTACGCATTTGCATTTTTGATCCTCGGATTTAGAGTTTTCAACTCGCGACAAGGTAGAGATGGATTCTTATTTCTTTAATATTCGATTTCATCTACTTTTTTCTAATATTGGATTTCAGATACCATTCACACTCGTTTGATAGGAAAACTACGATCCAATTTTTGAAAACCTTGTAAACTTTACCAATGTAATCTCTTTGAATTTTCAAAAGTCTTCCTTGTATAAGTAATCTTGGTCCAGCATTTCGTCCGATCCAAGCTTTGAAAAAATTAGAGAATCCATCCTTCTACGCTGCATAATCCCAGCCCTCCTTCTTACATGCTCGAGCTTCCCTATGAAAGGAGGGCACGCTTGCCGATTTCCTTGACACGCTCACTATTCCCTTCACATCTGCCGCACGGCGCCGGAGAATCCGAGCTCCACAGATTTTTCAGCACCTTAAAATCCTCAGTAGCATTTGAACGCCACTAGCAGTGTGCTCTAGCCTCGATTTGAATTTCACCGTTTGTCCAAGCTTCAAAGCCCAGACTTCAAGAAGCGATCAAGGTCACCGAGCCTGCAGATGACAAATGACAACATTCCCTTGAGGATCCATCATTTGAAAGAATAACAACCTCCCGCAATCACTTTCAAACACGCCTCGCGGGTGAAAGCTAATAGACCCTCAATTTCTTTACCCTCTTTACCCTCTAGGTTTTGGGTCGAGTATAGCCCTCTACCCGAACCCAATCCGAACCCGACCCGAACTCGAGTTTTCGGGTTCTACCCGAACCCGAACAGAGCCCTAGATGTGTGTGTGAATTGGAATGATAAATTGAGAGATCGTGTGTGAGAGTGTTTGGGATATGGACATGAAAAATAATCCTAGTTTTCTAGAACCATGATGAGCTACCGCAAAGCCATATGAGATAAATTTGAGTGAGAATCAGCCCAGAGGTTGTAGATTTCGCTATTAAAGACTTTGACAAATTTTCTTCTGAATCTATTGTTTGAACTCGCTACATGGGATCTGGTTTAAAATACTGCCATAGATTCAAACATTGTTCTAAAAAACACAATAGCTCTGATATCATTTGTCAAGGTTAAAACCGAGAATCAATAAATACAAGTGACAGTAAATTCACGAAAAACATAATTAAACACAAGACACAAGACGTAATGTAGTTTTAGTACTACGTCCAACGGATGTAACAAGGTTCATTCTCTTAGTGCTATGTTCGCGGCTTCAAAAAAACTCCACACATATGTATAGATAATGAGAAGAAGAAAGAAAATATAGTGATTATTTGGGATAAATACCCCAAGTCAGCCGGTGGCTAGCTAAACTCTTCTAGCTAGATGTTTATCAAAAACACAAATTAAACTCAATAGTATTGAATTCTTAATCTACTCACATTTTTTTATTACTTGGAAAATTTTGGATATACATGTTTGTAACAAATCGATGAAAAAAATTCACATTTTTTTATGAAATCAAAAATTTAACTCAATAAAAATAATAATTTTAAAATATAACATAATTTTTATGCAAGAAATTAATTATTTATGAAAAAAATTAGATTCTTAAATTTTGTTGGTCGCTGTTGTTTCTGGATAGATCTAAGCATGCAAAATATTTTTTATGGGCCTGAAGCTCTGAAGGACTATTCATAAATAAATTTTCATTTCTTAACCTTTTATTTAGTTCAATGATTCTTTTACAAAATAAAATTAAAAAGTCGAAAATAAAGAGATTTGTCATTAATCAAAATTTTGTTAAAAAAGTTTCAACTCCTTTTATTTGTTTATTTGAAATAGAATTTGATGGAGTAAAAAAATTTCATTCAAATAAGTATTTTGACTTTTATATTTTTTGGGAAGATCTTAGATCAATAGAATTCTTTTTCCCTTTTCTAAATTTCTGAAATTATATTCTTTTATGGTAAAGTGAAATGAATAAGATGGAGAATCTAACAAGTATTAAAATTCATGTGCTGGACATGATTAAATATGTGATTTGGTTTCAATTTCCATGATTTTTTTCCTTTTTTTAACTTATTGCAAATATTTTCTTTATTTATCTAAAACTTGCCTATTTCCAGATTACTTCTTTATGCTTTGTGTAAGATTAAGTCGGTTTTGGAACATCAACTCTCCTCGCCGGGGTGTAACTTGGAAGTCCCGCTCTTTAGTTTCAAACTAGTGTCTTGGAACCACTTGGTGTCTATCCCATCTAGAGTTTCGGGAGTTGTCCCGGGGGTTGAGTTAGCTGGCTTGCTTCTTATGCTGTTCCATGCCGGGATTAGATTATCTTCCCTCGCGATAAGCGGAAAGATGTCTTCATATTTTCCCGTTATCCCACATAGAATGATAATTATGGACAATTGAACAGTTTCTAGAATTCTAGAAACCATTCATTCTCAAGTTATAAGAATGAGTGAAGAAAAGAGCTTTTTGAGATTGCAACGAAGTAAAGCAAAATTTAAAAACAAGTCGCGAAGACTAGAAATTAGATGTTTAAGGTATAAGTTCAAATAAATACAAATGTAACAAACATGTAAAAAAATTGAATAACTTAAATTAATAAAGTCAATTTCAACTGCTATCATGTACGTGAGTATCATGACTACCAATCCTGTCCACCCCATGCAGGACGAAACGCGAGTAGAATTAGGTCCGTACAGGTGAGAATCAGAATTAGAAATCGAATGAACGTGTCTTCCGACTTGTAGACGCTGAGCAGCAGGCAGCCCTTCCAATCTTGGTCTGCAGCTGCAACTGGGCCTGTCAGCTTGCACTGCCGGGAGTTGACAAATCTCATTCTAAGCAGCTTGGAGGATTTCTCGTACGTCCGTCCGTCGAGCGAGGCCGCGTCGGACGCGTAATCCTTGAGCTTGTCGGCAGATTTGAACATCCAACTGGCCAGTATGCTTGCTGTTGGATATCGGCTGTAACGCAGATACCGACAGAGACTTCCACTGACTCGTCCATCGACGTAACGTGTATTGTCCATGACACCATGCGATACTTCACGACTGCAAATCAAAAGCATAATGTAAACGTCCAAAGGGAAGACAGCAGCATGGAGCTGCCACATTCAGGGCAAGGTTCCGTGCTGCATGGAGCTCGGACTCGGTGGAGTTTCATATTTCTTGTTACGCAATGAAGTCCCGTGGACATGAATAGGAAAAGGTTGTGGCAAATCACCAGCCTCCGATCCAGCCTCAACATCACGGTTGCTTCTCCCATCCAAGACCGCGGTGCGAGGAAACACTACGGTGGGTGGCTGGTCCTCAAAGTAGGAAGGTGGACTGCGAACTGCTGTCACCATGTGGGTGTGAGAGTCGAGCGTCCCCATGAACAGCATTAACAGGATCAAGAGCTGCAGCGTTGCTTTCGCCTTCAATTCCATCATGTGGTTTCGTACGAGGTCGATTCGGATGACGAATAAATAGGTAAAAGTCTTCGGATCAACAACACCGAAGGTGCTTGCTTGATATCAAAAGTAGCTTAACTGGTACCCCACTGATCAACACAGGTCCCTTTGCAGTTTCTTACATAAAAGTGCGCACAGATTTTTGAGCTGCGACTTCCCACCGTGTACTACAAAAGACTTCAAGGGTGACTGTAGTTCACCAAACAGCTGGATTAAGACTGTTCTTCAGCGCAGCTTCACCTCATAAGTCACACAACAATCTCAAACCAAAAGACTTCAAGGGTGACTGTAGTTCACCAAACAACTGGATTAAGACTCTTCTTCAGCGCAGCTTCACCTCATAAGTCACACAACAATCTCAAACCAAAAGACTTCAAGAGTGACTGTAGTTCACCAGACAGCTGGCTTAAGACTTTTCTTCAGCGCAGCTTCACCTGATAAGTCACACAACAATCTCAAACCATAAGAGCGATGTGTATCACAATTAGTAGAAGATATCTTCTGTAACTACATATCTTGACCTGCACGAAGCGTTTTCTGGGAATAGCTCTAGCAAAAACAAAGCATATCGGGAACAAGTCTCGTGACCGAGAACCGATAAATCCAACATTGTAAGTGAATGGAACAACTCTCGGTAAGTGAAGAACTGATAAATTGGACATTGGAAGTGATAGGAAAACTCTCTTTGCCAGAAAAACCTACAAATCCGACATTGTAATTGATGAAAACCTTTTGCTCGTTATAGGAAATGTGCATATGATACATCCTTGAAATGCTCCGAATTTTGGTGTTCATCTCCTCGTTTCTCCAAATTGTATAACTCAATTGTTAGTCTAACATTTACAAGTCTGTGAGAGGATTTATAATCTAAACAGTCATACATGATTATTCAAAAAACACATTTACTATCTCAACTCACTTGATGTCCAATTGCGAAGTCGAAGATTACGTGCGCTTGCGACCTTATCACCGCAGTTTACTGACAGATTTTCATGTCAGCTTCTGGAATCCAAAATGGCAGGGAAACTGGAGAGAAGAATGCTTTTATAGTCTAAAGTTTCATCTCATCTGACTCTAAAGTATGAAATTCAAATAGTAAAAGTACTAAGGTTGTTCAACGTAAAGTTGAGATTCATCGGTATATACTATCGTTAGAAATACATAATCGTTAGAATCCATTTTACTAGTCTTTGAATGCTATAGTTTTTCAAAACATGGATAATTGAAAAATATAATATTATAAATTATAATTATATATTTACATATATGTAATATCTGCAAAGAAAAAAATGAATTTCCAAATTTAAAAAATCAAAAATTATTATGAAAAGGTTTCAACAACTTCATGAAATATTTTCTAAAATTAAATCATAAATGGATATATTTATTGAAAATAGATTTATGTCAATTTAAATTTCAAATCTTATAATTCATGAAATAAAATCTGTACACATGGAAAAAAAAACTAAAATAAATACAGAAAATTGTATATAATTTGATGAATAATAATTAAGCATTTTTATTGTTTTAAAAAGTTGTGATTTTCATAATAAAAAATAAGTAAAATCTTACATGTAATAAAACAACAATTTTATAATCAACACAAGGCAAAGATTTTTTAAATCAAGATTTATCATCATATATATTTTTCATGAATCAAATAAATCAGATTTAAAAATATAAATTTAATCTATTTTATATTTCAATTTGTATTGTATAGATTTGTATAATTTATTTATAGTTTTTTTTAATCTAATTTTAGTGATTCTAAATATCATGCTACTAATTTAAGTTTTAGAATATTTGATATAATAAAAAAAATCATGTATTTTTTGAACGTATAGCAATTTTTTTATAATTGAACATTAAATGATTATTGATTTTATAGTACTAAAAATACCATTTTTGCATGACAAATAAAATTCTATGTGTATCAATGTTGTATATTTTGAATGATATGTTTACTAAGTGTGTGCTACATAATATGATTACTAAGTGCGGGTGTTGGAAATAAAAACAAAGTGGAAAATATTGTTAGATTAAACTCAAGTCGGAACAGTGTGTTGGTGACGGTGTGGACTATGTTGATACTCATTCACATTGAGAAATCTATTAAACCACTAAGCGCGGCATATCTACTTGCCGCGCTAAACATATCATTTTATTGTTTTCGTAGGCGTAGCCAAAAAAGACAAACTACGTAAACTATTTGTGTTTTTTATCTTCATTTGTTGTGCTTACTGTCAATTGAGCTTCTCATTTGGTATCGGAACGATGTGTTTTTTGCAAAAACGATTTATTGTTATCTTGACCAAAAAAATTTGTCTACCCTTGAGGAGGTAAAGTATTAAATTAATTTAATATTGTTGTTTATTGGTGTGTGAGTTTCTTGTACTTCTTGTTTCTTTGGTGGCTTTCTTCTACGTAATGTCACCCATTGATCACACTTGGCATCAATTTTTGTTGACCATTGGGAATATCGCAGAGCGCTTTTCAATCCATTGTGAAAAAGACGAGTTCAAAATTTAGTGTATATGTTTTTTGCCTAGTAGCCTAGAGAATGTTGTGTATTTGCAAAGTGACAAGGATATCATGACTTGCCTAAACAAAGTTTGTGGAGGGAAGTACTTATCGGGAAGTTCAAATTTTGATGTGTCAATGAGACATTGACAGAAGCTTTTGGTGGAGGAGAAAAGAAAAGGTTGGGCGTGTGGTGCTTGTTCCTCTATAATGAAAGTTTGGGATGAAATCTGATTTTAATCGTATGGTTATGAGAGATCACGGATTTGTGAGATCTTGTGATTAAAATTCTCCTGAATTTGTTAGTTATTGGATCGTGTTTGACGTTTTGTAGTTCTAGCTGCTATCAATCAATTTAGCTCGGTGTGAAGCAAAATTGATAAGGATAAAGTATCGAGTGAGAACCAACAAGTTTACTTGATTTAACTAGATCAAGAGCATGGTAAGGACCAAGAGAACAAATTGGGTGTGGAAGATTGCAAAGATGGTGATCAGATTGAAACTCGGTTGTTCTCCAGCTCTACCATAACCCTCATTTACTTCACTGAGTTCTTTTTTATTTCAGACAATCTCGCCCGCATTATCTTTCTTCTGTGCTTGCTAGAACGCATTGAGTCAAGACGCATGATGGCAGTGAGCGAGTTTTGATTATCTACAATAACGAGATGAAAAGTTGATCACCATTAGCATCATTATGCTTTTCATCATCGGCAACGGCGGAAGCAATAACATTCAAACGTTGCGAGCACAAACTTAAGCAAGCAGCAGTCGAGCGCGCAAGCTACAAGCTCAAGCAAATGGTGTGCAAACGAGTGCGCAAACGATGAATGATGAGTGACGATGCGCGAGTGAGAAAGGTGATGGGTGCGACGATGGCAAGACAGAGGCTAAAAAATGGACGACGGGGGAGCATTGATCTGCCGATTTTGAAGTGTGATCTCCATGTTGACTCTCACTCAAATTTATCTTAGATGGCTTTGTGGAAGATCATCATGATCCTAAAAGCTAAACGAACCTTAACTTTCCCTTGGTCCAAACATGATATCACACAAACTTTTCACATTATCATTAACAAGCCTATGAGAGAATAGATAATCTGAACACCACACATGCTTCACTTGATCTGCTTTCTACGGCTCCATATGCGTAGACAACGATTATCGACTCATGCTTGCTAGGTTAGTACAATATCATACACAAAGCAAATTTCCTTGAAGCTCTCTTACATTTGTATTGAACACTTAGATTCTCAAATCCAAAAGAGTTAAAGACAGAACGATAGTGCAACGGGAAAGCTGTCTGCTTAAATCGATGTGTGTTTTAAAGACGTTTCATCAATGTTGTGTCAAATGACTAGAAATCTGAAGTTGCGTATGCATCAATTTGTCTGACTCCAAAATATCAAATTCAAACAAAAAACTTACTGATATACAAATCATTGTAAGTCAGGCTCTTCAACGTAAAGTCAAGCAATATATTTTCAACGATACCTCGATAGTATGATAGATGATGGAATCATCACAATCCGCTCTCTTACAAAGTAAAGACGTGAATGTTTTAAACTCAATTACTTGAAGCAAGGGGTTTTTGATGATTAACATTTTCACAAACATCTCTTCCAGCAAATCTCTCTGCAATATCTTCTTTTACCAAGTTTTGTTTCTAGTGTTGTTCTAAGATCTTCATGCAACAAATCATGACTTCAATTCATGACTTCAAATCGAGTGATTCTTCATCCAAACATTGGATCTTGACGAGCTATTACTTGTGTTTTTTCTAAAAAAAATCCGCATATCATTTTTGGGCTAGAGAATGGCTGCCGCCTTGGTCTAAATTTGCCATAACCATATCAAGTGAAATCCCATAACTTTCTCTTCTAAGGTAGAAATTTCTTTAAGTGGAGCTTTAAGCTGATGGTAAGGAGAATCTGACCTATATTTGTAAAACTAAAGTATTAGTTAATATTTAGTCTTAGTATATTGGATAGGTTCAACAATCATCTCCAATCACTCAGATTGGAGACGTTTGTAAATGTAAAACAGCTATATCCATTTATTGTTAGCTCTTTTGCCAGATTAATGACGGAACTTGGACATCATTAAGAATTGGAAAGTGTAAGCATTTGTCATTCCAGGGAATTATCCATCCATCGACTTTAGAGAGGAACTGTGCTCGCATTCTCTGTTTTGAAGCAATCATTGAGTGTAAAATATATCCAGCTTTAGATTGTGATGAGTCTCAGTAATGGGTTTTTTTATTGGAAATTTCGAAACCTTCTACATGAATTCTTCGGATTTAGAAACAGCATATCAATATCATGACATTGAGTTGCGAGAACAGCTCAGTCAAGAAACGTGTCACTTTCAGATCTGTCTACAGACACTCATAATGTGGCTAATCTCTTTCTTGTGATGATTGTCAAAACATTACATATTATAATAGTATAATAGAAATATAAGAATATATCTTCTAAAATATACGTATGGCATTCTGACAAGTATCTTGGCTACTCCATACTCCTACTCCACGTTGTTACTCCAGTCTCAAATTCTGATATAGGAATTTCGGTCTTATATAGCATATTGACATAAACTTTGATAATTTGCATTTATAATTCCTGTTGAAGTAATATGTCTCCGGAACTGCATATTTGTTTAGTTTGGCCATAGCAGTGAGTACCTGCTTTGGAAGTAACCACGACACACGTTTTCATAATCTAAAGCATGAAAAGCTGTGAGGACGATGAAATATGTCTCAATGCAAGACACTGTATCGTTCCGAGAATGATACACTCTATGTGATACACGTATTTGACATGATAGTAGAAACAAAATAAGAACTGGTCCGACGGTTAAAAATGTGTTCGTGTATCTGACACGTACTCGCATGTTACGAATATCAACAGTTCATATGCCAGCTTTGGAAGCTATAGTTAATTGGAATGTAAAGCTCCAAAGCAGTCCGTAGCTAAGGTAAACGAATAATCTCAGTATGCACACATAATTTCAAGTTGCAAAGCTTCGATTCAATTCGATAACAAGCACCCCTTAGTTGCTCTTCATCAGGCGACGAGTCGAATGATTTGATAAAGCACTTAAGATATCCAAAGGACATGAGCATCTTACTTTGCATCAAGAAATTGTTGGTTTTCCTAGGTTTTGAGTTTTTTTTAACTATCAAAATGTTGATGAAAAATAAATTACAGAAAAAATAGATACTTTGTCTAGTATTCTCTCGTTCATTCTCTCACCATTACATGTAAATATGTCCATATGACTATAATACTAAAATGTCGCCATTCCAATAGGTTAATATAATAGGAACCAACTGGAATGGCGACAGTTTAACATTACAGACCAAAAAGATGATTATTCAATCTCTTGAGTCATATTAAATTTAACTTTATAGTCTCAAACTAAATGAATATTCACTTCTAATTTTAGTAAAAAGTACAGTTTAGTACAGAGTGTTGAGTATGTAGGTCGGCAGGCAGGGAACTAGCGTGATAGCGGCCCTTCCGTTGAAGAGTCACTCGTTGCTTGCACTCTTGGACTCGCGGACTCTCTTCGGTACTCGAGACTCACCGATGCTTCTTGCGATTGTGAATGTTTGCAGTAACGATACGGTGGACGGCTGTTTGATTTACTGTTATTACAAACATGCCGGTTGGATTGTTCATTTAAATTTCACTTCAATTTGTGACCGCCTGAGGACAATTTACGTTAACTTCTTTCGGTTGTAGAGGAACGTTTCGGGATGTTCCTCTACAACCGAAGGAGGAACGTTCCGAAACCTGTTTCTGGACACAAAATGTCCAGTAGTTTGTCACTGTCTAACGGAACTGAGAAAAGCAGTCTTTTGCAAATCGGATTTTCCAACGGATTTTCAGTAAAGTCATATGCGTTGCGTGGCCCCTTCGTCTAAATCTGGTATCTGGTATGCCATTTCAGTTGAAGATTTAACGGTGACAATTTACGGCTCCAGTGAATATGTGAATGTGTTCTCCAATTCCAATGTGTTCTCCAAATTTGTGTCCACATACTGAATATGTGGCTATGTGGCTAATCTCTTCCTCTTCATGACTGTCAAAACAATATATATTATATAGTATTATACGAAAATACATATATGTATTGTTAAAAATACTTATGGCATTCTACCAATTATGATAGGATTTTCGGTCTCAAATATCATACTGACATAACCTTTGATGATTTTTCATTTAAAGTTTCTGTTGAAGTAATATGTCTGTGGTACACTGCATATTCGTTTAGTTTGGCCATAGCAGTGAGTACCTGCTTTGGAAGTAACCACGCCACACGTTTTCATAATCTAAAGCATGACAAGCTGTGAGGAAGTTGAAATATCTCTCAATGCAAGACACTGTATCGTTCCGAGAATGATACACTCTATGTGATACACGTATCTGACATAATAGTAGAAACAAAATAAGAACTGGGTTCGACGGTTCAAAATGTGTTCGTGTATCTGACACGTACTCGCATATTACGAATATCAACAGTTCATATGCCAGCTTTGGAAGCTATAGTTAATAGGATTACAAAGCTCCAAAGCAGTCCGTAGCTAAGGTAAACGAATATGCACACATGATTGTTAATTTCATGTTGGAAACCTTTGGTTCGGTCCTTGCAACACACCTTTTCATATTAAACTTAGAAATATAGTAAGAACTGGTTCGACGGTTCAATTTTTGGTCGTGTATCTGACACCTATATAACATATACTAATGTTAGCAGATATATTTATGATCCTTCTATTTGGTATTTTTAAAGATTTTTTTCTTCCTATGTATGTCGCACCAGAGTAAAAACCTTTAGAACGGGAATAGATTAACATGCGTGAGTGCTACTATAACCATTTTGATATCATATTTATCATGCCCTCCTCTCTATGTAAATCTACATCTTCTGTGTCAAATGCTGTCATCGGTACTCATTCACATTGCTGTTCATTCTTGTGTGCGTGTGTGTAAGCGAGGGAGAAAGTACTTTCACTTTACGATGATCATCCTTCACCGTCAGACTGCTGCAGAGTGAAGACATTAGAACAACACTGGGTAGAGAAATTACTGAAAGAAGATGTGCATAAGAGTTTGATGGGAGAGATGTTTGTGAACATGTTAAGTATCAAATACCCTTTGCTTCAGGTAAGTAAGTTTCAAACATTCACGCCTTTCCGTTATAAGAGAGCCGGTTCTAACGATGCCAGCTTGATGATGTACTCATCGATCGTATCTTGCTTGAGTTTACGTTGGAACGAATAGCGAAATTGGAGAATCCAGGAAGTGAACGGCAAAACACCTGAACCTTCGGTGCAGTTCACGCATGCATCATATGCACATATCCTGTAACCGCTCAAAAGGTTTTCATCACTTACAATCTTCGATTCTTTTGGTAGAGGGAGTTGTTCCCGATCACCTACAATGTCCGATTGATCGGTTCTTCAGTTACGAGACTTGTTCCCTATATATGCTTTGTTTTTGCTAGAGCTATTCCCAGAAAACGCTCGTGCCGGTGAAGATATGTAGTTACAGAAGATCTTTTCTACTAATTGTGATATATATCGCTCTTCTGGTCTGAGATTGTTGTGTGACTTATCAGGTGACGCTCCGCTGAAGACCCGTCTTAAACCAGCTCTTTGGTCAACTTATGAAGTCTTTTGTAGTACCCGGTGTGAAGTCGCAGCTCAAAATTTCTGTGCGCACTTTTCTGTAAGGAACTGCAAAGGGAGCAGTGTCGATCAGTGGGGTACCAGTTACGTTACTTTTGATATCAAGCAAGCACATTCGGTGGTATTGATCCGAGGATTTTTACGTATTTATTCGTCATCCGAATCGACCTCGTACGAATTCACATGATGGATATGAAGGCGAAAGCAGCGCTGCAGCTCTTGATCCTGTTAATGGTGTTCATGGGGACTCTCCACTCCCACACCCACATGGTGACAGCAGTTCGCAGTCCACCTTCCGACTTTGAGGACCAGACACCCACCGTAGTGTTTCCTCGCACCGCTGTCTTGGATGAGAGAAGCAACCGTGATGGTGAGGCTGGATCGGAGGCTGGTGATTTGCCACAACCTTTTCCTATTCATGTCCACGGGACTTCATTGCGTAACAAGAAAGGTGGAACTCCATCGAGTCCGAGCTCCATGCAGCACAGAACCATGCCCTGAACGTGGCAGCTCCATGCTGCTGTCTCCCCTTTGGACGTTTCTATTATGCTTGTGATTTGCAGTCGTGAAGCATCGCATTGTGTCATGGATGGTACACGGTACGTCGTTGGACGAGTCAGTGAAAGTTTCTGTCGGGATCTGCGTTACAGCCGATATCCAACAGCAAGCATACTGCCCAGTTGGATGTTCAAATCTGCCGACAAGCTCAAGGATTACGCGTCCGACGCGGCCTCGCTCGACGGACGGACGAGGCATCCTCCAAGCTGCTTAGAATGAGCTTTGTCAACTCCCGCCAGTGCAAGCTGACAGGCCCAGTTGCAGCTGCAGACCAAGATTGGAAGGGCTGCCTGCTGCTCAGCGTCTACAAGTCGGAAGACACGTTCATTCGATTCTCTAATTCTGATTCTCACCTGTACGGACCTAATTCTAATCGCGTTTCGTCCTGCATGGGGTGGACAGGATTGGAAGTCATGATCAATGATATTCGCGTACATGATAGCAGTTGAAATTGACTTTGTACGGAAGGACTTCGATTGGTCAAGCTCTAAAGTCACACTCCTATCCGTTCTGCTTTGCTGGTTACCTTCGACATAATGTCAATTCTGTCTTGGCTTAGAAGCAGTGGAAGCAAGGGTGGAAGAGACTTCCACAGTTTCAATCGATGCTGCTCTCTTGTTGTGTTGCTCTGATAACCGCATTGGGAGCTGTTCCACTGTTCGAACATGTTCTTAGTTAGATCTTCCAGGCAACAAATTTCCTGCTTCTCTTTTACCTCTCTAGTTTTGCTGACATCCAAGAATCTACCAAACTCAAAAACACAATACATGACTCGCACTCCTAGGTTATACTTAGGGGTGAGATCACAACTGTCTTTGCACAAGCTTAAGTAAACTATAATTTTATTTATTTATTTAAGTTATCCAAATTTTTTACTTGTTTGTTTAATTTCTATTTATCTAAAATTATCTTTTCTTATACCTTAAACATCTAATTTCTAGTCTTCGTGACTTGTTTTTAAGGTTTGCTTTACTGCAATCTCAAAAAGCTTTTTTTTCACTCATTCTTACAACTTGAGGATGAATGGTTTCTAGAATTCTCAAAAACTGTTTAATCGTACACAATTTTGCCTCCATATCATTATATGCGAGATGACATAATCTTACACAAAGCATGAAGAAGTAATCTGTAAATACGCACGTTTTAGATACATGAAGAAAATGTTTGCAGTAAGATAAAAATTTAGCAAAAGCATGGCAATTGAAACTAAAATAAATATTTCATCATATCCAGCACATGAATTTTTTAAACATATTTCAATATTCGTTAGATTCTCCATCTGATTCATTTCACTCTACAATAACAGAATACAATTTGAGAAAATTAGAAAAGGGAAAAAAATTCGATTAATCTAAGATTTTCCAATAAAATATAAAACCAAAATACTTATTTGAAAGAAAATTTTTTACACCATCAAATTATATTTCAAATAAAAAAAAAGAATTTGAAATTTTTTAACACAACTTTGAATATGAGAAATCTCTTCTTTTTCAAATATTTGATTTGATTTTGAAAAGAAAAAAAAAACTAAATAGAAAATAAGAAATGAAAATTAATATGAATAGTCTTATAGAGCTTCACTAACATTAAAAAAATATGCAAGTATACATCTCCAGAGTTAAACCTCCTAATAGTGTTAACTCTTATGAGTGACATACTCTCATTAGTGACGTAAAATTCCAAAACCATTAGTTTCTAATGTGTAGATCTGCTCAATAAGAACAGTACGTCACTATTGCCAATAGTGACATGATACTATTCAATAGTGACAATCTCAAGTGTAATTTTAGAGTTAAAATTCTTATCATGATCACAATACATAACTATGAGAAAAAAAAATGTGGCATACATTAATATAAAGGTATATCTCAACAATTCGTGCCATGTGCGAATAACACAGATGTGCAAACGAAAGCAATTTTGAAATCAAACAACACATTTATATAAAATGTGCTAGGACTAATGTAATGTACAATAAGAAATAGATACATTTTCTTTTAACAAGTGACACCTCCCAATAGTGACATCTAACCTTAACATCAATGTATGTTATTATTGGGAGGTTATATCAAGGTTATGCACCTCCCAATAGTGACATCCAACCTTAACACCAATGTAAGTTACTATTAGAAGTTTATACTCAATATTATGCAATTTACTCTTGTGAGTGACACCTTCCAATAGTGACGCAAAACTCTAGCCATAATATACGTTACTATTGGGAAGTTTAACTCTATATATAGAAAAAATGATTAAAAAATAAATAATCAAAAAATTGATTCTTAAATAATTAAAGTCTTTAATATTAATCATGATTTTTTTAATAATAATTTCATTGATTTCATGTATTTTTTGAAATATAAAACATTTGAAATTATTATATTAAATTTTTTATACATATGTATGTTAGAAATTTTTGAAGTGATCAAAAAATGTGAGTAGATTAAGAATTCAATGCTGTTGAGTTTGACTCGTGTTTTGGCTTAACATCTAGCTAGATAAGTTTAGCTAGCCATCGCCTGACTTGGGGTACTTAACCCCATAAATTCAATGTATTTTCTTTTCTTCTAAACCCTAAATCCCAAACTCAAATTTTTTGACAGGTTGGGAGCACAGGCGGTGATCAGGCAAAGCGTGAGCTGACAGGCGAGACTCGAAAAACAATTTGAGAAATTGAGAAATTTTGACAGATTAGTTGATTAGGATCGAGATATCGACTAACACATCGCTATCAAGCGTCAACAGTCAAGCAGCGCAAACGAGCGCGTTGGCAACGAGCGGCTGCGCACATGCGTTATGCAAACAAAGATTGCAGAGGACAAGTGCACCACGCACGACAACCTGCTTTTATCCCGCGGTGACACATCAACCTCCCACCGAACATCAGGTCATCATGTAGTAGGTGCCACATAACCACCAATCGTCATGTCAAGCTCATAGACGCGTGAGGTTTTGACACGTGGTGACGTGATGTGGCATGGATGTATGACGCTCAATACACCAACACGTGACGCATTGGACGCGCAATGCAGTGAGCTCGAATCTTGAGTCAAAACGTGGTAGAGCCGACAGACATCATTTAGGCGCATGTAGCACGTTTGGGCAAGCCACACATGCAATTGACGCGACACGGGCAAGACAAGTGCCATGAGTGGAGAAATATATTCATTTGTGATTTAATTTTTTTAAAATATCTCAAAAATGTATTGAAACCTTTTCATAATTATTCTTGACTTTATTTCAATTATTACATAAAATCATTTTCATTTTTTGCAGACATTCTATAAATCAATAAAGATATATTTAGAAATTATGATATTAACTTTTTTAATTTCAGATGTTTTTAAATTAGCGCGTTCAAAGACTTTCATGATAAGTGAATAGATTCTAAATACTACATCATGATGATGTATCATCAGCTTGATTATACATCAAAAATGATGAGATGCATAAATTTGTATGTCAATTTTGTTTGTTAAATTTGATATTTTGGAGTTGGATGAGTTAAAATTGATGAGACTTCATACACTATAACCAGACTCTTTCTAGTTGCATTATCATTTTTTCTTTAATTTTTTTGGATTTGAAATTTTGAATGTACAATTCAAACTTTCGAGAAACTCTTGGAAATTGCTTTGCGGATGATATCGTAGTAACGTGGCAAGCACGAGTTGATCATCTTTGTCAGCAATTGGAGCATATCAAGTGAGTTAAAATAGAATATGCATTTATTTGGTGAAGCATGTGTGATTGTTCAAATTGTAAATCCTCTTGCAAGCTTGTAAATGCTAGAGTATCAATTCAGTGATGATATTTGAAAAATTTAAGATGTGCACGCAACACCTGAACCTTTGGAGCAGTTCAAGCATGCATCATATGCACATTTTTTGTAACCGCTCAAAAGGTTTTCATCAATTACAATGTCAAATTCATAGGTTTCTTTGAAAGAAAAAGTTGTTTTTGATTACTTCCCATGTCCAATTTATTAATTATCGAGAGTTATTTCATTAACGTCATGTAGGCGCGGTTAGCTTTTTGGGCACGTCACGCAGGCAAATGAGGTAGTGCGGGTGGTACATGTGGCACAAAAAGACTGTGCAAGGCCCATTCGACGCATGGCAAGCCGCAATGTGGTAGTACATGCGGCACAGGCAGGTCGCACTTGCAAACACGTAGACAGACACGCGGCGGACAGACGTAGCAAGCAGGTTTGAGCATATTCCAGGAATATTGCGTCCAAATATTCCATCCATCAAAGAAATTTTGTTTATTAGGAAAATTTCATCCGACCCGATCTCTGCCTAAAGATAAGCAAATTGGGTATCATTGAAAAGCTCTCGACGCAACTAGTGCATTGGAGTATCTTGGGAGAGCTAACAAATGACGTAAAAGGAAGAAAACTATAGGGTAATTGTCATTGTCTTTAGTTGTCGTCGTATTGAGATGACCTCTAGACAGGTTGGAGGATCTAGCTATAATATTGTATCATTTGATAGACAAGGTGATTAACTACTCTAAAAAAGCAAGTAAACAGGAAGTTAAAGGCCATGAATCTTCGCACAGTGTTGGTGAGGAAAAGTAATACTATGACATGTTGGAGTTTTGACAAGAGTGACACATCAAAAAAAGTTACACTTTATGTATATATTCCAATGTGATCACAAACAAACATGATATGAGTGATTGGAGATGATTGATGAACCTTTTTAATATCCTAAGACTATATATCAACTAATATTTTAGTTTTACAAATATAGGTCAGATTCTCTTACCATCAACTTAAAGCTACAAATGTGATTAGACGACATCAGGACATTTTCTTCTACGAACATTCTTTATGTTTTTCACAACACCGAAATCTCTAGTGTTACTTTTCAGAAAATTAGTATCTCCAGAATTAATTTCTTACAATATGTACAATCGGTTCATTCTCTTGGAGACAATCAAGCAGTTGTAGCTAAATCAATGTTGTTCTTGACTGCAGTTCTTCATGTCTTAGACGTAATTAGGCTTCTTACACGTTACTCATATGGTTCATTACCAGCGTATGCTTCAATGCAAGGATAGACGAAATAGGAGTGCCACGTTGGACTTCACTTGTGGTTCCCTGTTTGGTTCTGTTGCAGCTGTAGACCTAAGCCTACGGTTCTTATACTGATTCGTTTATGGTTAGAGCTGTGCTCCCATTGGCATCAAGCTTCTCGAGGGATCTTTGTCAAGGTTTATGTGTTTTACTAAAGCCATCGAACAGCCTACATGCGGATACAAACAATGGCTAATATTTATTGTACAACTTGAACTACAATTAAATAATTGGATCCTATTATGTAACAGTAACCTTCAAGGGAACATTTCTGAAGAAGCTGAGCTTCATAGTTCCTGAATTTTTATGTGCTTCGTCACTGACGATGAATTTACATTCGAAGGGTGAAAAGGGCTCAAATTCGAATCTAGGATTTTTCGAAGCTGGTAACGACATCCAAAATTCATATCTAAAATGCAATGTTTTGTCATTCTAAATTTTAATATATAGTTTAGACCATCTACCTATGATACATAACACAGATGATGATATTGTATGATCGTGATATGTGTTTAATAATAGTTAGTGTTGTCTAGATACAACAATATACAAAAATTGCGGCAATTTGAATATGTATTGAAGTTTCCAGCAGGTGTGTGTTTAAAGAATTGAAGGTGTATGACTCTTTATGAAGAGATCAGAAACTAATATTGTAAAATTACGGAAAGAATTATCAACTCTTACATGAGTCAAATGGGAAACATGCTGGAAACCTTGAATGTCATTACAATGATAACTATACATCTTACATCTCAATCATTATATTTAGGTTAGACCATCTACAAATGATACATAACACAGATTATGAAATACTATGATGGTTTTCTGTGTATAATAGTAGTTACTGCCCTCTATGATAATCTATATAGAAGCGTGAACTTAAAAACATCACAAAATAATTTAAATAAAATAAATCTAATCTGCTGGCAATTATAAGATATATTGAATCTAACAGCATATTAAAAATATATCACCGAGATTACTTACAAAAGTGTACTTTTCTCTAGATTTTGTTAAATATTTTCCAAGGACTTTGCAAACCATCGTGCAGACTATGCATCCTCTAATATTTGAATCAAAAGTTTGCAACAATAATCGCAATATTGCTGGAAGAACAAATCTTACTAAATACGTTGCAAAACATGTCAACGGTCCTCATTTTATCACTCTCATGTTTTACAAAGCACACGCATTATGTAAGTCCTTGCGGACTCCCCTTGCTTCCGGCAGCATGCATTGATAAGAGACTAATTCCTGATTATTAGAAACTCAGCTACAAACACATTTAACTACGTTACACAACTGTTATTTTCTCATTTCTGTACTTCATTATTTCATCAAATTTTTTCTCAGCAAACACAGACTTTTTCTTGTATCTATCTTAGATGCTCACCCTTCGATGTGACAATTCATTGGTGACAAAAATTTATGACTTTCACATGCACTTGTATCATGTTTTTTCTCTGTGATAAGTGTTTTATGCTATCTTGAGCACGCTTCTACAGTCCACATATCATGTTTTTGGCTAGACGAAAAGTTTTTGGATATTCAAAATCCTTACATCAGTGTTTTATGACTCCTTTGCATCTAATCCACAGTCACTGGTGCAAAATTTCTACTCCAAGGCTATTGGTACAAAAACTAGGTGATCTAATCAAATTGAATCCTAAATCAAGTGCAATTTTTTTTACTAACATCAGGTTTATAAATTTTAGCTTCAATTTTATAAAATTCAAAAGAGTCAGCTAGTGGGACACATTAATATCTCAAGCAAGAGGATTAAGCAATTGTTGAAAGATGTTTAGTGCAATGAGGATATTCACTTCAGTTGATGAAATGTCTTTATACTGCTTTCGTGTTACCACCTCCCGACAAACTATGGAGGAGTTTTTGGACTATGCTGGAAGGTGGAAAGGAGAAGTGTTTTAAGCTTCGAATGGAAGCCCCGGTAAACGGCGGCAGTAACTCTAACTGTCCTAAGGTAGCTTACGGGGAAATAAAGAAGCCTCTTACATTTAGAAGACAAAAATGCCACTTATAACATTACATGGTTCTTGTATATCACACTTCAATCTCAGCTCTTGTATTGATCTGATTTTCATGTGAATTATATCCCATTTATATATGATATATAAATAAAGTTCTTTTTTTGAACGAGAAATTTCTTAATCTTATCTATTATCCGGGCAAAGTTCGTATCTTTTGTTTCATTTTCATTCATGTCTATGTCTTGGTCAAGAAAGTTATACAAGACATTCTCAATACTGTCAATAACACAAAAGTGTCATCCATACAGATCACATAAGATTCAAGCAGTGTACTCAAACTTCATCTAGCTGATGACCTCGATTGTCTGTCAACTGTTGTAATCAAAGTTCGAACTGTACATAGTGGGCAAGATTCACCTGTTGGTCCACAATAGCAAAGTATCATCGCGATACGGTCCGTGTAAATATCCACTTTACCATGCGTGATTGCCTAGCTAACGATTTTGGTGACTAAATTCTATACCGTGTATGGCTTAGCTTCTTGCTTGAGATAGACACTATCGAAACTTAGGAATCTTTTGCAATAATATCTTAACGACAGTAATAGTAGGGAGCTTTACGTTAATGGTCGTGACGGAGCTGCAAGCTTGAATGGACATCAATCCAGTTCTCACATAATTCTTTGACTTCCCTACTTCAATGCCTGGACCAAATATCTAATTTATATTTCTTATAATAAGATTCTGACGTTTTGTGCAATCCTTCAGTCACCCAAACTGGAACGAAAATTTTACATGAGAAAAGCCTGCAAAGGCTTACATAAAGTTTGCTGATGTGATAGATCATGTAATTTGCACGATTGATGTCCAACGGAAGTACAGTACCGTGGGACAAAGTCTTACAAAGATTCCGTATGCGTAGGAGGAGTTGAAAAGACTGAGAAGTAACTACAAGTACATTCCAACAGGGAATGCAGGCTACGGGAATGACGTCTGGAACATTACAGTAGATTCTTACACAGTTCGGTTAAATTGCTATTCTTTTAACTAGAACAGATTTTTCCAGAGTCCAAAAACTGAAGAACAACGCATTCATCACAAAGTAACTATAATCGTTCTGATGACGCGCAAGAGAACAGGACCCACCGAATCGCTCTTTCATATCCATCAACTCAATGTTGGTCGGTAGTGCACAAAGGGAAATAAGTGAATATAGCCAACAGGATGGCAAGACACCGTCAAGTTGTACATGCACAAAGAGGGAATCAGCGTTAGTACGTGAAGACTGATGTACTGGTGTACAGTATCACAGTCCATTAAACTGTAACCTAGTCAACGGCACTCGGTTCGCAGTTGAGAAGTCCTGAATTCCCCGCGCAGATACTATATTGCATGTTCGATGAGTCCCTATATTTCATATTCTAACTTCCCCTATTATTGCATTCTTATGCGTGCAAGCTTGCTTGGAAATTGCACGCGCAGCTTGGCATGTATGAATTTATGGATTTAAGATAAGCCTTCCAAGTATGTTATGTTTTGTGGTTTAGAACACTCGTTTTTTGGGGATATACGCCAATTGCGAATTATTCAACTCGACAAGGTCGACTGTTTGGCAGGTATTTCCGGGTCACCGAGTCAACACGTGTGTATCACCAAATAAGAAGATCCCACGTATGATCAGCGGCAGCCACCGTGGCTACAAGTCGGAAATGTAATGTACATCCGGCACGCAACAAGGACCACCGGGAATTAAGCCGGTGTCGGTGACAGGTGCCCGGCTTTTGTTTCCCGCTCGTCAGGAAAGCAGAGAGAGAGAGAGAGAGGGGAGGAAACACGAGACGAAGGGGAGAGAGAAGCAGGAACGGAGCAGGGAAGAGGAGGGAAGGGGAGGGGACAGATTGAAGCTTGCTTGATAGCGAAGAGCTCCGACAAGAAGAATTCTATCAAGTAGGCGAGTCCGTTCAAGCATTTGGCCGATCGGAGTCGGGAAAAATAGAGTGGGCTGTCGTCTAATTTGGGTGAGTATGTTGTCGCGTTTTGCACATTCATGGGCTGAAGCCGATCTAGTCTGTCCTAGGTCTGGATTTTGGCGAACAGGGCAAGGATGTGAGCAAAGTTTGAGTTCTCGCTGCTGTATATGAGCTCTGCATTTCCCGTGCCGCGGTTTGCACGACCAGTTAGCCCGTTTCGGATTTTCGTAGAGGCTGATTCTCGTTCATCGAACAAATTGTGGAATTCATTTTCATTCTCACCGTCAGATTTGTTGGGCATAGCGATTCCCGCGTCTTCGTTTTTGCTACCAGTCTTTTCGCTTACTGTACCATACTCTCCCCAACGTAATCGTCGCTGGGAATTTGCTGAATATCATTTTGCCGATTTTGACCACGCCCATGGCTGTCCTCGCCGCTGCAAATCGAGGGACATGCCATTTCCTAAACCGGGGAATATTCTTGGATCTGTTATCGAAAGGTTTCGCAAGTTCGCACAATAGAGGTGAATTGGCAACCTGATTATATTCCTAATCAGTGGAGAACTCAACTACAGGACAGTGTACAGAAGGGTTCCCGAGAGCGAACATCGAAGCCCAGAATGAGGTGGATAATGCGGAATCTATTGGGAACGAATTCATAGCCTTCAAAATGCAGGCATCCGCCATCGGGGCTTTGGCCCCGGTGATGCTACTTTGTGGTTAGTGAATTTTCAGCAGCCTCTATTCTCTTACGTCTGTTCTGGCCGGTTTTTTAAGTATCCACTTGAGAAAACTGAAGTCCATTATCGCGCTTGCAACGAGTGGCACGTTGTATCACATGGTTCTCTGTACTATCTGCACTGGTGTAGCTTTGAATTTACTCTATGTCTGGGCGACTGAGTATGCGATGGTCATCAGTGTCAGTTGTTAAAAAGGCGGTTCGATGTTTTGACAGCCGCGTTTGGGAGCTGGAGCATAATCTCTTTGTTCTTTCTGCTGGCCTTTTTTGTCGTCCAGTATAAATCTCAAAGACGAGGTAATTAGTGTGGTTGAGAGATTGGCTTGTTTTGAGCTGAGTTACAGAGTTTGGGTGCTTATTACATTGGAAATACTTGAAAGCCCTCTTCACTTTTATATCTTCGTTCGCAGTGAAGTGTTTCTGACCTGAATTTCAGTATAACCAATCAGTGAATTTTGATGATTTTCTTCGTATCTCCTTACGTTCTTATAAACAGAATTCTTGTTCGTACCTTTCAGCTCGGCATGTTACTCCCCGGCCATTGTTGTGGATGTCTGTGGTGTTGTTGGCGACCGGTGTTATTGTGACTGAAGGGTTCATCGAATTAGCATGGGCCATGGTGGGGAGCAATTGGGACATATCGGAGTCACCATGGCTGGATTTGATAGGACTCTCCCGGTAAGTTGTTTCATTAAAACTGGATTTTGTCCTCGTTTCAATATTTGGTTTCGATGTGATCGAGCTTAATTAGATCATGAGACCGAGTAGCAACTATTTTGCTGCTCCAATTGATGAGTTCTCATCGTCGGATTGATGAGCAGTGATCATATAAGCACCTTATGGACAAGATAGTGATTACTCAAATCCGCCTCGAGACAAACTGAAGAAGTTATTCAGTTCGTCTCGAGGCGGATTGGAGTAATCACTACCTTGTATGTGTGAACTGCACGCTTTGCTTACAAGTTCTCTTCATTAGCTTTATGAGTTTTTTCTGCTTCTAGGAATTACGTGTGAATATAGAGAAGAGATCTGAATATAGTTTGGTGACATTAATATGGCATGCTTCAAAGAACTTATTGACCTTTGGAACTTTGAGTCTTGAACCATGACATTTTATTCTTGCAGACTGAATCCATGGGAGGGCAATCTGGGCGTGTTTTTGTCCCTTCTTCCCCAGTTTGGTGTGGCAATTACTGCAGCTTGTGCTTTGTACCACGAGCAACAAGCCAATGGAATGGCGGACAATTTATCTTGGGGTTCGTCTCCGCAACATATTCGTTTCTTTCTGACTACAGTTATAGCTGCCATGAATAGGAAACATGCTTAGAGAAATTTTTTATGGTGGAGTTGCTTGGAATTTTTCTGTAGGCACGGATGGAAGCTGATGAAGTTATAGTTGGTCAATGTGTTTCATACTTTTGATTCATTCACTGGATACGTGTCAAAATGCTGCTGAACCCATTGACCTCCGGTATTCTTGAGGTTGAAAATACCCGTACCCTAATACGGTCATTAAGCGTGTGGCAAACATGGATGTGTTCGTCTCTACCCACTGTATGAAGTTGATAGTCAATTTGCATGTACTCCATGGCTTGTTTCATTCTGTATGAAAAAATATCTTCTCAGTCTGCACTTGTATTCACTTCTCGTGCAGGCGAAGAAGGATCTCAGTGGCGGGGCACTTTGAGGAACTTTTTGTTGCCAGCCGTTCAGATTGTGGTTGGAGTTGCTCGCCCTTCCTGGATAGCTCTTCCCTACTTCGTGTGCAGTTGTGTTGGACTTCTCCACTGGTCAATGACTAGTAACTTTGTCGGCCTCTCCTGGTATACATCCACATCTTACGTAGGTTAATAGGGAAGGATAAGAAGATGGATCACTTATGTTTTTGCTATTTAGCGCCGCTCAGCTATGGCCTTCAGGCTATTGCAGCCACATTCTAAATAGTATGTTCTAGCCAGATTAGTAGCACATCGCGGTGAAAAAAAAGTAGGTGTATCTATACAAAACGTGTCCTTGAAATGTGCGTGGCTAAGCGAGGGTGGATGGAACACATATGTAGCCCTAAAGAATTTCAGTTCAGAACTTGTTTTATTATTGACTGTCTCGTCTTGATGCAGGGGTTGGAGACCATTACTTTTGTGTACAGGATGTCACATTCTCTTGTTGTATCTATATCAGTTGCCCATCGCCTTCCCAGATAGTTTGTCAGAAGTTGCTAGTTATTTTGGTCTATTTAAAGTTTCTGCCGTGGACTTCGGCTGGCCGGAAGGTCTTCAAGCTGCTGCTCTGGTAGCATTGTACATTTTGGTAAGATATTCGAACCCTCCAAAGACTTTATAGCTTACCTCAGATGCTTGGAATTACCGTGATGTAAGTGTGTCTAGTTATGTGATTTGACATACCTGCGATATTGCGGCAGAAGTCTGGTTCTGACTTGTTGTCTAAGCTGCAAGTTGAAAAGCAGTATTGCCACGAAATTTCAGAAATTTCTCATTGTGATCAATTTTTTTGCTGATTCAATTACATCTACCTCGTCCATCAGCTCTGTCTCGCCATCAACGATTTGCGAGAAGAGCATTACATTCGAGTGACATCCGAAGACGTATCTGGGCCTGAAGATTCTCTACCCAGATTTCATAGTGACACGATATCCTCTTCAAGTAACCACATCAGCGATGAGGGCCTGAGTGAGAGGCTGCTTCCTGCTCAACTTCCAACATCGCACAGAGACACAATGTAATGGCCAGAAATGCACTCTGAAGGTCCGGTTGCATTCATTCTTTCTGATTTATCATGGAAATATAAAAGTACTGCATGAGAGTATAATTTATTTTACTTCTGCACTAGTCTTTGTTTCCGTACTGTCTACGTCAATCTCCTATGGTACGGATGATTTCCAAGCCATTGACCATCATCATAAAAATGTTGTGATCTAATGAAATCATCAGTGTTTTTGCGTTGACTATTTCTAATTTCTAATACTGAGTTGTAAATTACTACCTTACTATTATCACTAATCGGACTCCTAGTTCTGTTTAGTTATACCTATTTTTAAGCTTGTTCTGAATGTCGTATGTTTTGCCTTGAGTAAAATTACATCGTCAACATTCTTTCTGTAAATAAGTGCAATACCTTTCGACTCGTGCTCTAAATTCGTCTGTCGGACCATGTAGGAGACATGGGCCCTCTATAACAAATATCGTATTTTACTGTTGATTATAAGGATTTGTAACTTTTCTTCTTACAATTGAGTATATTTATTTTTAAATAACATTTCTGCCCGTTTTGAAGTATGTTCAGTCGAAAGTCAGTGAAGTCTTGTGTCTTGGCTATGCATAACTGAAACACTTGACTGGAATCATTTGGGGCATCTCTAAAATCCTCGCGTTTAGTACGAAATTTTCGTTTCTTCTGAAATTTATGTCAAAAGAGGAATTGTTTCTCTTTGTTCTGATCCAACTTTTGTTTGCCGCCAAGTCTTACTTGACACCAGAAAGACGCCTTGGCTTGATGATTAACTCTCAGCGGTGATCTGATATTCTCGACGTATCTTGCAGACAATCTAGAAGGTGGGCTGGCGATCAGAGAAGAGCGGTTGCTTTTCAGCATGCTACAATCAATTTTATTACCTATGGTTTCCCGGTAAGTTCTATTACTCCGAAGCAGCTTGAAGTCGCAGAACTAGGAGCTGTCCTAGACATCATTGAGGGTTTTGTTCTCCGTAAATGCGTACTTGAGTCTCGTGTCTCAAGTCGACAAAAGTCTTTGGTCAAGACGTTTGAGCTCCCAGTAGTGTTTTTGCAAAGATGATCTAAATCCAGTGTAAACAACATCTTTTAATTTTGTTTGATCGACGAAACCGTAGGAATATCCAAACACTGTTTACATTCTCGCAAAGTATTGACTGCATCTAATACATCGTCAAGATATAGGAGAAATGATCTTAATCCTGTGGTGTGGCATGGTGAACTATAGGTGTGTCTTATTGCTCTAGTATGCTGGAGCTTCATCTATGCCAGCCTCTGTGCTTTCGGCCTTCTGCTATACGTGGGCTATATATTTTATGGCTTCCCATCTGTTCTGAAATTAAGGCAGCTGAACCCAGTGCTTCTTGTGTTCATCTTATCGTGGGCGCTCAGTACGTACGTCTTCAATGCAGCTTTTACTGTCATCAGTGAGCAGTCCGCGATGGTATTCAGAGAAGCCATAATCTTATTGTATTTTTCCGCTTTGATTTTAAGTCTACATTGAATTTTTTGTGCTGCTGTGATGACACATTCTCGTTGAGAATGAGTGTTTTCTAGGATTGGGAAAGTGGTCAGTCAAAATGTCAAGGCTCCTCTGACGACATTGTCTTCGCGCAAGGAGGCTTTAAAATACTAGAGCTATTGCTTTAATCAACATAGGAATATGCTAATTCATAATTTGACGTGCCATGTCGGTGATGACGTACATGAACTGACTGAAAGCAATGGCTAATACTGTATGGTGACAGGGAATGGAGTTTTGGCATTCTATTGGACTGTGGCACTACTCTACGCCAGGACTATTCATTTTTGCGCAGTTCGCACTTGGAGTTCTCGTGGCAACTGATATATTCGTGAGCAATGTTATAATTCAAAGCATGAGCGAGACAGACAGTCCAAATGAGGATCAAGGCCTTGCAGAAGAAGGTAAGGGACCCATTGTTGTAGGAGCTCTTTGTGTTTCATACGGAAGCGCACGAGCCTTGGGGCTTCTACAAACAAATATAACACTCTTTTATAAACCAAGCAAATGTATGCGTTGCTATCGTTATTTTGTGGTGACTTAAATGAAAGTCTCTTTATCATTTGTTTGTGTAGATCGTGGTAGGATTCGCTAAAGGATAGTACATCAGTTTTTCAAGACGATGGTTCTTTTCAGAAATCTTTAAGAAAAAGGCTTCCAGATTTTTTCTTGATAAATACACGTGATCTTAAATGATTATTTGATTCATAGTGGAACCAGTTTTTACTATTCTTCATAGGGTTTTGAAGTCCAGGAACTTTTTTTTACATCTTTACACCTGAAAATACGCTGTTGTGAATGGTTTGAGATTATTACCTTTTGTTTCTTTTCACAGATGGGAAACTGTATGTACTATTTCGATTATGTTCAGCCCTCGTTGTTTAACCATGATGAGAGTCTCTTCGGAATAGCTTTGGCGAATGCTGAGTACATATGAGTACATCAGGGAGCAACTACCAATGACTTTCTTCTGTTGCACGCAATTCTAACAGTCAGGTGAAGAGATGCAGGATTATTATTTAATGTGCGCTTGCCATTTTACAGATAACGAAGACTGGAAGGTTCTAATACTGGCAGTAATTGCTTGGTGCTTACGACGAAGCTCATACGTTATCTCTTTGGTATTGATATTTACGGTGGGCATGAAAGATGGATTGCTCCATGCTGTCTACAGTAAGTCATCTATATCTCGAGATCTTGACCATATCCTTTTGACTACCGACATTTTGTAAGATTCGAACTCACATACAAAGTTTCAATGCCACGGGAGCCAACCAGATTTAAGGAATTGACTTGGTGTTCATGATTTATATTTTGATATCTAAATGCAGTTTGTAGTTTTGAAAGCAGTTCTTGAGCCGTATCTCTACATTATTTCTAGTTTATGGGCACTTATAGGTTCATGTTGAGGATAAAGATGGTTCGACAGCACCTGATCTTGTCAACTCGTTTTGTGAATGTGCAGTTGGCTTCTTCCTCATGTATCTGGTTAGTTCAGCAGTTGCGAAGAGAACACGGCAGTATTTGATTCTATTTTGTGAGCTACATTTTGCTGCTCTCTATCTTTTGCAGCTGGACTGGATATCAAGTATTATTGAGCGCAACGAAGCTGTTTTGAAACCAATCTTTTCTCAACTTGGTGGGTACTTCTGTTCCTCTTTTTATCATGGATATTTACTGGTAGTGTACCATATCATTTGAAATAAATTGTAGTTTTTTTATTTCCAGATATACGAGTTCAGTCTACTGACACATTCTGCCTATCGAATTATGGTGCAGGTTTGTGGGGCAAAGCAAAGTTTCAGGATTTTTTGAGCATTGCAGCACTGCTCTGCTTCTTGGCGGTTCAAAGTCATGGTTTCAAGGTGTTAAGCTCCCTGTCAGCAACTATTCAGCAGAGTCCACAGCCACCTTTAGGATGGGGTATATTGAGAGTTGGAAATCGTCGATCCGTTCTAATGTCTGTCTATGCATCTCAGAACTTTGGGTATCTTCAACAAGAAAGCAGCAACAATGGTATGCCCAGCTCTTCCCTGGAAGTTCTGTCGCTGAAGGTCTTTAGCCGCGTTGATAGGTTCCTTTTCGACTGGACGTTGTAGTCATAGTAACAGTATTTGAGGTTGAATCTGTGAGAAGGTCTCGAGTTTCATAAAACAGCTGCATAATCATATGAAGACCATGTTTATATTTGAACTCTCCAAGGCGATTCGTGATGAGTGCTGCAGTCTGAATTTATTATGTAGATCGAACTTTTTTGAGGAATGACTTTGTTTTTTTTATGTTTGCAGTGAACTGGGTAACGAAGCACCTTGCAGCCATTGCGGAGAAAGTTCGCGCGACATATCGATCTTTTGGCACATATATTGTTTACGGGACAGTGATCAGTGTGATCTGTTTTGTTGAACCAAACTATGTCTCCTTGGGATACCTGTGTTTCTTGCTCTTCTGGGTAGTCGGGCGGCAGATTACTGGCCATACGACTTCTTATCTTTGGTACCCTTTGATGATCTTCTCGGGAATCGTTTTTGTCACTCGTTATATTTTAAGTGCCTTTCCGGATCTTAGAAAGTTCTTGGAGAATTGGTTTGCGTTAAACGATGATTTTGGCTTCAACCCTCACGATTCCTTGTTTGGACATCTGTGGGATTCTTTGGCCATTCTTGCTGTGATGCAACTTTTCCGGTTTGAACGTGCACAAGTCGTTATCCTTGCGGAAGAGGCAGACGGAGCTGGTGATCAGTTCAATCCTCATCATGGATACATTTCGTTTTTCAAGAGGTTCGCAATTTTACACAGTGGGAAGGTTCTTACATTGACGGTGTTTTATGCGTCAATTACACCGGTAAGCGCAACCGGATTTATGTATCTTATTATGCTACTCGTCACCTGCAACATGTCCAAAACTTCTCGACTCCCTGGACAGCTGTATGCTGTTTACACTGCCATTCTTCTAAGCAGTGAGTACCTATTCCAACTCCTGGGACAGAGGTTGGAGATGTTTCCGGGTCAAAGCCATGGAAATTTTGCCAGCTGGATCGGGTTCCACGTGTATGAAAAAGGCTACGTTGGGGTGGAGTCTGGGCTTCGGAGTAAAGTTTTAATCTTAGTTGCCTGCATACTTCAGTATTGTACCTTCTATTGGCTTGAGCAACTTCCGGCCTCTCTTCGTGTAGATGAGCAGTACAAAGAGCCTTGTTTACTGTTTTTACCGCATCTGCGGAGAAACCGTTCGAACTATGGAACTTACCCAATTGCTGTCGACCCTCGACATGAGGGACCCCAAGCTGTCCAAGTTGGGCCAAAGATTGCTCGTTTAGATGACAGCATATCAGACGCAATACCGCGCACTCCTGACAAAGTCACAGATATATCCAGTACGGCCAGGAGTCAAGGTGGGGGAATTTTCGTCGCATCAACATCGAAATCCAACATGAAAAGTCTAGATACTGGCGGCGTTAAAGGTGAGCAGGCCTTTGCAGACAGCGATAGGTCACGGATGGGTTCCCCATGGGGCAGTGCCAAAGAATCGAGGCGTTGGACTAAACGAGCAAATCTTCTTCAGAAGCAGGATCGATATGAGGCTCAGTTAAGGACTTTGAGTATCTACACCAAGCACACGCTCGAGCATTTCTTCCAACTCTACGGACTGGAAATCAGCATGCTGGCATTGTTAGTCGCTAGCTTTGCTGTACTTAACGTGATTTCACTTTGTTACATTCTCGTCCTTGGTCTATGTATACTCTTCAAACGACGATCTCTTCGCATCATCTGGCCTTTGTTTGTCATGCTCTTCGCCTGTGTGTTGATAACGGAGTATGCTGTGCTTGGGAAGGGTCCACCTTCGTGGAATGTTCCTCCCATTCTGAACGAAACGGAGGTTCGCTGCAACAATTGTGCTCTTAGCTCCGCCGCCAATTATGATTACTGCTGGCGATGCTGGCTCGGTAATTTCTCACTTATACTATCTTAGCTTGCACTTTCCCTTCATTCATGAACGGCATAATTTGTGAAGTCATCATACTGTTGGACAAAGTTGTATAGGGTTCTTATTGTTGAATATAAGGATTATCGCATAGTGGTCTATACATCTGTGTCTTTATCAACCCTTGAGCGTGTCCTGTCTCCTGTTATGCCCCATTTAAATAACACGACATGCTGTCTCTCAGCTAGGGATATTTTTCCATTCATCTTCATTTAAACTTGAGGAAAGGATCAACCGAAATTGTAGATATTTCTTCGTTGTCTTCCTTTGAAGTTCTGAAGCGGAGGGTATTTATATGGTGTTTGTTTCCAGTATTGAAACTTCCTGAATCTTTTCTGCAGGATGGGTTGTTGATGATCGCCAAATCTTAGTCGCTCATTTCATGGTCTTTTTGATTGCGAGTCTACAGCTTCGGGCTAACATGGCAACTGGAGGTTTAGATTCTAGATCTTTCCATGCTGCAATAATTCCACCCGATGACAGGCTTGCTTGGAAGGAGATTTCTTACGAAACCACGTCCCAGTGGACTTGGTTGGATCATGTCCGCTTCTTCTTCTATCGGCACCTTTTACATGTGGTTCTCCTCCTCGTTTTCGCTACAGGGACACTTCAGTATGATGTACTACATCTCGGTTACTTGACATTTTCTCTCATCTTTTTCCGGATGCGAAGCACCATCATGACTAAGCGCAATTCCGTGTTCATGTTTTTGCGCCTGTACAACTACATCTTGATAGTTGCGTCTTTACTCTATCAGGCACCCTACTCTGGATTCTTGGCTGGGGAAAAGTGTTCTGTAAATGCTGATATCTATAATATAGTCGGACTCTACAAGATGAAGTTTGGATTCCGTATAACAGCACGGTCTGCCCTCGTAGATATCACCATTTTTTGTGTAGCTGGACTGCAAGCACACATTTTCCGGTCGAGGGAATTTGAGCAGGTACTTAGATATCTGGAAGCAGAACAGGTCGAGGCAAGAGCACATGCCCAGGAGAATAAGGCAGCTTATAAGAAGGAACACTTGCAGCGAATTCGAGAAACAGAAGAACGGAAGCAGCAGCGGCGGTCACAAGTGGAGAAGATGAAGACCGACATGCTTCATCTGCAATTGCGGTTGGATGTATTGAACTCCACTGGAAAGTTCAGTGAAGTCGCGTCTCCCATGATTGAGTTAGATGCTTGTGGTGGTCGTCATCCATCATTTGTTCCTTTCACGAATCCAGATTCCATGGTCCATTCAGCAGAAGATACTCAGAGTTCTCGAGGCCTAAAGAGGATTACTTCAGATCTAGCAGAGCCAAGCAAATATGTAGGTCCAAAAGTAGTCCAGCCTATAGCACATTCCGAGAGTGTTGGAGATTTCCAGGTGAGAAGAAGAAGAAGGGTTTCTTGGCAGGGACCACAAACCGAGGGGGCTACCTCACCCAACTCTGCAGGTAAGTCACTAAGATTACCAGGACCATCTGCTCCTCTACGCAGAGCTGCTACGGATGCCGATGGTCAATTTGAGACCATTATGGACGCTGGCGAAGAATCTGCATCGTTGCAAGGCACAGGTAGCCCTGAGCACAACAAGAAGTTTGAAGATCAGTGGCAAAAACAGAGGCTCTTGTCTGGTGTGCAGCTTTTAGGAGATGGAGTTGCCCAGGTTCAAAATTTAGGGAATAAAGCACTCTCCGGTATTATGGGATTCTTAAATATAGAACCAGAAGATGATACAGAAACTTCTTCCACCGACGAGGAGGGAAAGCCCTCCGCACCTGAAAAGAAGCCCAACCCTTATGAACCCAATCCTTTTCAGACTGACGCACCTTATGAGGATCAACAAGCAGATTCTCAAGCCGAAAAACAACGCATGATTGATACTTGGAGGCGCATCAGCATGCTTTGCCAGTACTTTTGGTCACAGGTCTCTTCTAACACTGATATCGTCTGTTACTTCTTCTTCGTCATCGCGTACACTTGGAACTTCAGCTTTCTTACGCTCGTATTCCCTGCTACTCTTTTCCTATACGCGCTTCTCGCCAATCCTGGTCCGAGTCAACATTTCTGGTTTGCCATGCTTGTCTATACAGAAATTAACATCCTGCTCCAGTACATGTATCAAATCCATGTACAAAATTGTGAAGTCAAGGATGTATCTGTATGGCTCATCAAGCTAGGTATTCCTGGATCACCTATGGAACACTCTTTTGTTATCAGTGTCCTCCCCCTTTTCCTGGTCTATCTCGCTACCTTAGTTCAAAGTTCTATCAAAGCGAGAGATGGAGAGTGGTTGTTTGTCAGTGAGTCTCATTCCTTTCCATCCTCAAGGCGTCTCTTAGATATGGAAGGCCAGACTGGGATCCACCGTATACCTTTGAAAGACCGACTGTGGAAGAGCGTTCGATGGATAACAGACGCTGGGTCTAGCGTCAGAAGGGGACTTTCAAGGTACTGGCAGGCCTTACGCACTGGGTCTGAAGCTCCCCCACATTTTGTTCAAGTGTCGATGCTTGTTGGGAAGTGGCCCGAAGATGGCATTCAACCAGAGAGAATCGAATCTGGAATCAATAGGCTTCTCACAGCAGTTCGCCGGTCATCCAATGTCCCTTCTTGCCAAGAAAATGAGAACTTCAAGGATGTGTGTAGTCGTGTCCGTGTGGAGAGTATAGAGAACAGTCCAGGAAAGCCAAATATGGCTCTCGCGGTCTTGGAGGTGATTTATGCCGCTCCTCCTAGGGGTTACACGCCAGGCGCATTCCATCACACCCTTACTCCAGCCGCAGACGTTGCGGCTGAGTTACAGAGAGCGAAAGATGAGGGTTTGGTAGAAGAGACTGCTTTCGCATATCCTATCGTGTCGGTGATTCCTGGTGGCAAGCGGGAGGTGGATTTATACGCTCTAATCTTTGGAACAGATCTTATCGCATTTCTCTATGTGGCGCTGTTTTATCAATCCGCTATGAAGCACAGTGAGCAGCTCCTTGAAGTATATCAAGTGGAAGATCAGTTCCCGAAAGAGTTTGTCTTCGTTCTTATGGTATGAATCTGAATCTAAATCTAAAACTCGTGTTTTCAAAGTTCATGCCTTTTTTGCGCTATCAAAAGTGAAGGTCAAGGGACTGCAGTAATCAACCTTATTTATTTTTTTGGTCTTCAAATTCAACTTCGTTTTGAAACAAGGGGAGCTCCTATCTGAAGCGTACTTCTTTTGGTGCAGACTCTTTTCTTCTTGATGTTGGTGGACCGCGTTCTTTATCTATGCTCTTTCGCCACAGGAAAAGTCATCTATTACTTCTTCAGTTTTGCCCTGTACACGGCCTATGTCTCCGATTTTGTCTGGTCCGTACTTGGAGCACCAGGAACTCCGAAACACTTCTTTCAGCTGTTGCCCCTCCGGGGATTCTATTTGATGAAGGCTCTATCCTTGGCTTTACAAGCTGTACAGCTGAAGTTCGGTTTACCACATAAGAGTACTCTATTTGGACAGTTTCTTACAAGGAAGGTCAACTCCACAAGTTGGCTTGGTTTTCGCCTTTATAGAGCCTTGCCCTTCCTGTACGAACTGCGCTGTGTCCTGGACTGGTCTTGCACAACGACTGCTCTTTCGATGTATGACTGGCTGAAGGTAATTATTTCGTGATCTAGCCGCACTGTTTGTTTGTTTTTATACATATATGCATATACACACACATTCCCATCATCTGCTATTCGTAGCTTTAGGGCTCAATAAGATGTGGATGAATTTTTTATTAGTTTGAACCTTGAGAACGGGTATCTGTATATTTTCCATCCCATGTCAGTAGGGACAAATGGGAGTTATAATGGTGGCTAAGATTGAGACCATTTTTGGGCTAACATAAAGTTTGAAAATATAAATCAAAATACTGTGAAGAGGTCAAAAAACATAAGCCAGCTAATGTGCCCGCAAGGCCGGGCACTGTCAGACAGGGACCCGGACTTTGTTTCGTGGGACACAACAAAACCAAAATACTGTCCCACAAAACAAAAGGCTTGGCCCCTGTCTGGTGCGCACCAGCACCGGTTTTCAATCAAATTCAGTAAGTCAGCTTGAGTGTCTCCTTGTCTTGCAATGCGAAGGCTGTTGGTGCAATTCAAAAGTGAGAAATTAACCTTTTGTGTACGGCATGTAGCTGGAGGATATCTATGCAAGTCTGTATCTTGTGCAATGTGATATAAAAATGGTCCGTGAGAAGCATCGACTCGGCGAAAAACAGGGTGTCTGGATAAAATTTTGCAGTGGAGTGCTGCTTTTTTTTACGCTGATAGGGATTATCTGGGCTCCCATGCTGGTGAGACACACAAACTAATTTTTTTTTAGTTTATGGACAGAATCTCGTTCTTCAGTTATTTTGAGACTTATGTTAAAGCACTCGCGAAACGTAGGTAGTCAGTATCTGGTTGTATCTTGCTGAGGGCAACAGAGCACATTCTTGAACAATGAATTGTAATATCGATTACGTTTTCAATTTTCTTTTTTGCCAGGCTTACAGCAGTGGCAATCCAACCAATATCATAAACCAGATCAATGATGTGCGGGCCAGGATTGAAGTCAAGACTGCGGGTGGCAAGTTCCCAATTTTCCAAACGGGACTTTGTCAAGTCCCTTTTCTGGAAGACGTTCTACAGCCAGACTCTACTCCAGAACCTTTCACCGATCCTTACGCATTTTTGACCTCTTCCTCTTACGATATAAGGGACGTACAACTTATATGCTGTGAAGAGGATGCTGATTCACTCTGGATGATACCGCCCCCCACGCTCAAGAGTTTGATGGATTCTATAGATGATGACATCATGTTCCAGACAAGATGGGAGTTCAATCGAGATAGGCCTAAGGGAAAGGAAGTAGCTGCTGTTCCATCGGACGTCATAGGCATGAACTCCTCGTTGATAGCGCAGCAGTTGAGGCAGGTTCTGAATGGTACCCTTAATTCATTCAGAATTGCCAATCTGTACCCGCGTTACTTTAGAATCCCTGGTTCAGGAGATGTGCGTGTGCTCGAGGGAACAGTCGACCCTTACTTTGTAAGTGGAGAAGCGAACAAATTACCTTAATTTATTTAATGTAAATATAGCGTAGACCCTCTGCCTCTTGGACACAGTGATTTGTGATCCGTGCATGTGAGTTACATACCTTCGCCTAGTTAGTCATATCGAGACTTTTCTTCTTTTGCAGGATTCGACTTGGAGGGCAGGTTACGTGTCAGGCAACTTGACCCTTAATAAAGGTGTATATTCGTGGTGGTCTTTCACACGTGACGATGCATTCAAAGGGGATGGTTGTGGGAATGCCAAGGGCCCTGTCGCTTTCACGGTGTCTGAAGAAGTGCCGAGTAAGTCATATTCATGTTGGCAGGTTTCAAGAGAACTGAGATATTGGAGTCAGTTTATTGTTAAATCTTTCTATTTAGTTTACTTCCGTGAGTAGGTTTGTTTTTCTGTCATTTATCAGTGCTGCATTTTATTTTCAGTTGTGGTTGTGCTGATCTCATTTAAACGATTACTTTGGATCGGAAGCAAAGGTAGTTATATAGTACATCTTATGTAGAAGGATATGATTTATATTAACTTTGGAATTAGACAGTGGCCTGATGGCATAGTGTTTTTCAGATAGCCCGTACCATTTGACCGACCTGACCTCTCTGAACTCGACGACATTCACTTTCAGTACTTATTTATCATGTTTATCGCTTTAGTTATCCCGTGAAGATGAGGTTACGCTAATACTGCTTGTATTTCTGCTCGAATCGAGCCCCTAACCGGTTATCCTCCCCAGACCAAAGCCGTGATCCTATATTCGACCAATTCTGTTAGTTTCTAATCAGAATACTCACAACCTCGTTTATAATCTCCAAACAGAGGGAATTATCGGAGAGACGCTGAGCAAGTTCAGCATCTGGAGTTTGTACATCACATTTGTGCTAGCTGTTGGTCGCTTCATTCGACTTCAGTGTTCTGATATACGAATGCGCATTCCCTTTGAAAATTTTCCGGCGTGTGATAGGTAAGTTTTCAGTTACTTATCATGTTTTCGTTCGTTTGGCCTTAGCTTTCAAGACATCGTTGAGACCGTTTCTTGCTTGTTGATCTTCCTGACAAGAACGATTAGCTTCTTGTACAGTCTGTAAATGTCGAGGTAGATGCAAGCAAAATGAGTAGGGAAGAGTTCGCTTTTGTAGTACCTGTTTAGAACCTCCAACATGTAGTGAGACTACATGTTGGAGTCGGGGTGGACGCCTTGTGATTTTAGAGCTGACAATTATTTGAAGCCTAAATAATTCTTGATATATCTTGGTTTCATTCAGGGTGGTTGCGATTTGTGAAGACATTTATGCTGCTAGGGCAGAGCGAGAGTTGGAGTTGGAGGAAGGACTATTTTGGACATTGATTAAAATTTATAGGTCCCCCCATATTCTTATGGAGTACACAAAAGTAGAGTAGGTCTTACTGTTCAATATCAAATTAGTTTCACAAGAGTGAACTCCCTGATCCGCTCAAAAAGGATAGTAGTCAGACGACTGTGCATTAGGATTTAGAGTTCACTGAGCCAGATCAATCTCGGTTTCATTCAGCCCTAGCATTGATCTGGCCTTCGGTGTCAGCCACAAAAAATCTGACTCAGTTGCGCACCCCGGCATTTGTACAGTATTCTTCCGAGAAATCAAATCTGCAAGTCTCCGAGCGTCTAAGATTGACAGATATGATCAGTTTTTTCGATTATTTCCCCACCATTATTGTGACAGATTACGAAGTTGAACATCCAGATTGTACGGACCAACAATTTGGAGAAGACTTCGACCTATTAGTACACTACTTACTTTGTTTTCTTGCCGCCAACAATAGAATCTCCAACTCAGACACGAAAATAGCAACACCGAAGTTAAGTAGTCCGTTCATATGCATTAATTCTGGCCCGGTTAATCACCTTACCGGGTGCAGTGTCTTGCGGCTTTGATAACCTTTTATCTCGTTGACATGCTAAGCCGGACTCCGCAGAACAGACTCACGTTTGTGATCAAGTCCACCATGGGTTCTGCCATGAAGTTTCATTTTATTCTATCACGAGAATGATGAAATTTAGATGAACCGGCGATGGATTCATTGGTAGGACGGTTCAAGGCAGGATTGTGCAGGCGTTTCGACTGGCTTCTCATATGGTTCGCCTGAACGAGTGTATGTATATTCTACTTCTTGCTTCTGTTGCATTCACTATATCCGACTGTCACAACCACTTGGGACAAACATTGTCTGATGCGAGCTTACTTTTACACAACACATAGTTACCGATGTTACTATCATGAAGCAGCCGTCTTTCTATTTTGTTTTGTTATAGTGTGTTTTGTTATCATACTTTGTTTTGTTATAGGTTCTTTGGATTTACATCCTAGAGATTCTTTTTGTTGCACCAAGATTATGTATCTTTTTGAATCTGGTGAGTAGGCTTCAGAATTCCAATCAATTTTAAATAAATTGATTGGAATTCCAATAGAAGATTGCATTACCAATGAATGATATTTCAATGATAATTGGTAGTTTGGTGTCAGTTAATTTTAAATAGTGAATTTACAGCAAAGGAACAATAAGAAGGTAATCGACTTTGCTATGAAGAGTTTGAACGATCAATTCTAAATTCACGCTTTAAGAACCTATGATGAACCTATACAAGCGAGCAAATATTGAAGCTGTCTTCAACTCTGCCCCGCTCGTACAATGTGGACAAGATTCGAAATGTGAACCTGGTCAAGCACACTGGAACCAGATTGTAACTGGCTGAAGTATATTCTAGAGTTTGGTATTTTCGTACAGCAATCGGTCAAACGCATCAGCACCCCCATCAACGTAGGACACACTGGACGAGAGAAGCTCGCCCTGATATTCTAAACGCAACGCATGAACAGCCTCAGTGACACGGCAATTTGCTCGTTCCAGATTCTAGATCCGAGAACAAACGATCGCCAGCCAAGTCAAGAACAGCCTTCAGAGACCAACAGACTCCACCTGGTTACAGCAAGCTCCTACTACGACTGCTACTACTGCTGCGTATGCGTGCAACGCAGTAGGAAGATGGAGTCCGTCGGGGTAAAAGTCTGGTGGTTCGATCGATCGATTGATGGACCGATGGACCGAAGAAAGCGCAGGAGCCGCCCAAGCTCGCATCGTCGTCCGAGCGATGGAATAAAGCTCGAGGCACATTGCGAAGATCTTCTTGCTCTCGTGCGGATCCTCGTCGGGCTGCGAATTGATCGCGCAATTATGGCCGACTCCTCGGGATTTCAGGAGCGTCTGCAAGAGTTGACCGACACTCTGCAACATCGGAAGCATCTCCTGGAGGTAATCGACGGGTTAATTTCCCAGAAAGAATGCTGCTCGCGGCACATTTGGCTGCACATTTCTCCCTCCCACCCTTCCTCGATGTGCACGGGAGATGGATGCACTGAATGCCTGTGCTAAATTTGGGGTGCACGACTCCCGATCGTGGACCTTTCTTCGTTGTTTCTTGCGGTTGGTTGCCTGCGTGGGTTTGTCGTGTCGCTCCGTGCTTGACTCTTATCTTGGGAGACCGAGGGATTGGGAACTAAAGTTGAGAGCCACATGGAATCTGAACAATTGATCAGGCCGAGAAGCAGATGCAAAGCATAAGACAACTCGCCCTTCAGGAAGCGAATGCCAAACTCGACCAGATCCAACGCTTGACTCATGACATGAAGAATAAGGCTGAGGACATGTCCTCGACGATCGGCAGACTCGAGACGCAGAGAGGCGCCGTGCACGCTCGGCTCGACGATATTTTGCACGAGACTCGGTGGGTCGAACACTATCAGGTGCACTCGCTGCACTTCGTTTGAAGTCCTGTTCGCTCATCTGAATGCAACGCTTCGTTGATGGCAGACTGTTGGCCGAGCAGATCATCGACTTGGAGCAACAGAAAGACAGTGCTTCCCAGTTCTACGAGAAGAATAAAGAAGAAATGCAAACCCACCAGAGACGCAGCCAAGAACACAGATCTGAGCTTGAGCTGGAGATAAACAAACTCGAGAAACAAATGGAGGAGGTAAGGCCGAGATCCAGAATCTTCTGCACTGCTTTAGTTTGTAGCTTCCGTCAGAACCGACTCGCACGTAATGTGCGTTTCAGAGCACAATCGTGCGATTGTGAACCCTAGCTGCAAGGGCCTTGATTCTCAGTCCCGGGGCGGGTGGACTATGATCATCCTGTCGAGGCGAAGGTGGATGTAAGATGTGCTTCGCTTGAAGCTGTGATGAGTAAAATGTCGTCGTGCGTTTCTGGCAGCTCCAGAGAAGTAGTTCCGAAAGAAAGAGGCAAATTTCGGAAATCGATGCGGCGATTGAGGCCGAGGAGGAGAAACGACAAAAGATGATGTCCACGAAAGAGGAAGTGATTCACGAAATTGCCTCGAACTCGAAGAAGGTGGAGAAAGCAGAAGCAGCATTAGAACACGCCAAGGGCGACATCAAGAGGATAGAAATTCAACTCACAGCCGATGTACGTGCACGGACGGAGCAAGTAACTTTCTTACGAAGGGAGAACGAGTATTGGGAAGACCAAGTGTTCCAACGCATGCGGAAACGCACGCAACTGCAAAGGTAAAATCCGTGCAGTGCTGAAGAGCACGTTTCGTTAACATTATTGTGGTTTACACTCGCAGGTAAAGCTTACACCGTGTTCGATTTGATCGTTTATACCGCAGGGATTTAGAGATTCTCGAAAACAGAGTGGCAGAAAAGTCGAAGGTTTTATACGGCTAAGCGTATTTCATCACCCGATCAAGCTCGGAAATAGCCTTCTCTCGTTTGATAGCACAATCTGAGGAAGAGTACATCGTGGCTTTCCCAGTGAAAACTTCATCTCGCTATCTATCAGTTCCTTTTCCTCAAATCCTCTCGAGAGGTTTGTGTGGAACTTCCATTTCGGTAAAGGAACTGCCTTGGCGCGCCGTCAGGTTAAAAACTTTTACGTCCATACGTCGAGGATCGTGCAGATGATCAAAATCTGGGGCCCGGATGTGAGGCGTATTCTCTGTGCGGTAAAAGCTGTTCAAAGGAGATTATATCCATGGACGTCACCCCACCGTCGCCGCTAGACGTTTGGTCAGCCACTGCTCCGCAGCCACACAAGAAACCGGTCGATCAGATTTACATGTAGAGCAAGAATAGATCCCATACAAAGCGAATGAGGTAACAGGAGTGTAAATGGCACATGTGATTATATCTTGCCACTTGTTAACTCATATATATTCACTACTGGTGCTAGTTTCATATATCTCCAATCTACGAAAATTCATGTACGCACTGTTGCAAAGATCAAGGCCTGTTGAGTGCAAAAGAAGAGGGCATCTTTACATCATCGGGCTTAGTTTCACTGCGTACCGAAGCAGATCAGTAGAGTGCATTTTTTCGTTCAGATACAGGAAAAATCTCAAGAAGAATGTTCGCTTTGGAACTGCTTGCAGATGGGCAGCATGGGCAGCATCTGCGAAGTGGTTAATGGACTCCGAAACGCAAGAAACATGGAGAAAATGTGCACAGCTTCAGATCGTCCGGCACGCAAACAGGTGCCAAACAGAGCATGAATCAGTCAGACTTTGGATACGCTCTCCATGGCACCCGGCGGTAGCTAGCGGTCCAAAGGCATGCACACCATGGGGGGATCCAAAGTGGGTCTGTATCTGAAGGTGGCACAGACAGAATCAAGCGAGAAATTAACACTGGAACACGTCCAGGTTTGGAAAAATTTCGACAGACAGAAAGACCGAAACGAATGCTCGTCGGGCATCCTATGAGTGCTCACATGCTTCCTGCGTGTTTCCCATGAAGGGTAAGCAAGCACCCAACCCCTCATGGGCGAAAGTGTTCGACGATTCACGAAGGCAGCAATAAGACGACAAAATGTATATATCTATACAAGAAGGAGAGGCAGGCTCACACAGAGGACATACCGTCATCACGCTTAATATTACAAGCACAGGAGCAAAAAATGAACGGGCAGGCTATCGTGCCGTCGTGAGAGCTTCCAGAAATTCATCCACATGCGCCAGGCATGGCCAATAATCGGTTCGAATTCGCACCAATGTGGAGTAGTCTGCGACTTCCATGCGCATAAGCAAATGGTACCGGGGAGGCAGAAAAATGAGGACGAGAAAATTGCCCAACCCGTTATTACTACTCTCATCCGGGGGACCGAAATTGGGATCGCGGGGATCGAACTGCAGAGCCAACTGATTGTTGGCGTTCTTCTGAGGGGATCCTACTTCCGACCCACCGCCGCCGGGGGACTTGACCGGGCTGCCGACGTCCTCCCAAACTACGTCGTTGGACATGCCGCCGTCCTTGGTCATGGCGGCCAGCGAGTCGCCGTTGACTGCGACCACGAACCGCGCCAGGTGGTGTTCCACGGCCCCGACCACGCGGTCGACTTGTGCCTCGATGAGCTTGACGGACTCCGAGCCCTCAATCACCACCTCGTTCAGGCCTCCCTGTAGGGAGAAGGTCTCGGTGCCCAGGCGGCCCGGCCCGCTGCACGCCTCCCACAGGGCGTGGTACAGCGCCAGCAGGTACTCCCGTTCGCCCTCCGGGCTTACCACGTCCGCGGGCAGCGGCGGCTTCACGAACAGGTCCTCGATGCCGATGGGTACGCTGTCCAGGCGCCCTTGGACCCCGTGCCCGTCCTCATCGCTGAATACAACGTAGGCGTCGACCAGCGTCGGAACGGGTTGGCGCGGTTCCAGTCGCAGTACGACGAGCTCGTGAAACGTCGGGGCTGGCTCGGCAGCCGCGGCCCCGGCCACAACCAGCGCCGCGTCGGCATCCCCCACGTCCTTCAGGAGATGGCCGTTGTCTTCGATGCGGGACTTGACTTTGCCTTTGCGGTCCGAGTCGCTCACCGAGGAACTGCGCTTCACGGGACTCTGCCGACTCTTCTCGGGCGGTTCGCTCAGAAGGAACGGGACCCGGACCTTGGGAATGGGGCCGTACAGGCCCGTCGTTGAGAACGTTATGACGACGGCGTAGATGGCAGGCCAGGAATCCGACAGGCTCGAGAACGGGCTCGAGGACGCGACGAGCCCTTCCGGGGACGACGACGACGACGGCTCCGAGTCGCCCAGAACTTTGTGCCGAGTGTCCCCCTGGAACACGAGCGAGCAGGGCACGGAGATCTTGAGGCCCGGCCCGCTCAAAAAATCCGGAATCTCTCCAAAATGCGTCCTCAGGGTCAGAATGATCTCCGACGTGCGACTATCCATGACCCGCAGGGCCGACGATTTGGACCGCCCCTGAGGGACAACCAGCGGCCCTCCAACCGGGACCAGGGCGTCGGTCGCCGAGCCGTCCCCGTCCTTATCCTTGTCCTTGTCCTTTTTGACGACGATCTTCTTAGATGCCCCGGACGAGTCGCCCGTTTGCTCATCGAGAGCTCCTGTGCTCTTGGCCTGGAACACATCGTACAGCACCAGCGACCACGAATGGCGGACGAGCAATGCTGTGACTCTCCTGAGGTGGATGTAGGCCGCGACCAGAGGCGATTGCCTGTGGCCCTGGTACGATGGCGGAGACGGGGATCTCAGAAACGAGGAAAATGTCGATAGCTGTGGTGCACTGGCTTCTTCCACCCGTTCGTCTCCGTAATTCAGAATGCCCCGCAGCCTATTTCCTGGTATGCTGATGAGCATCCGCAGGTACAGTCTGGAAGAGCACGAGCAAGTAGAACATCATTCAGTTAAGGAGTATCCCGGACGCAAGCAAAACCTCAGACCTCGTTCTCATCATGCAAATCCTGAACGAGCAGGAATGCCCATCAGAACAGTCCTTGACAAGAGGAGCACAGCCTCCCTCGGACTATTACCTCCTGACGACAATCCACAATACTACGGAATGCTGCCCCAGGCCAGGCCCAGCCATTATTCTTGAGCCTCACAATTCTGAAGAACTCTCGACACCACTGAACAAAACTGCCCCTGAGTATTCACAAACGTGTGGTATTACTCTCGAAGTACTGAGCATTTCAAGGGTTCGGTCACAGATCCTACCTCGCCGTGTCGCGTACTTCGACGTCGGGGAAGTAGAGGCAGAGGAACCCCAAGAGCTGACCGAGAGTGTGAAAACATCTAGAGCTCCGATGGTGCAGTAGGACAGTCCGACATATTCCCAGTACTTGAACAGCTCGGCCCCACACTAAACAGTCATCGTCAGGACCACTTTCTTCGACTTTCTTCTTGATGTAGACTGTCAGTTTCTCAACAAGAGCACCAGGAGGTATGTCGCTGTTTTCCGCGATGTTTTCCAGGAGAGGAAAGTACGAAGGCAGGTGACTATCCGCCTTCAAAATCGGCAGCAGCTTTTCGTTGAAGGCTCGAAGAAGAGTCTCGCCAAGTTTGCGGTGGACTTCACAGGCCATAAGGCGATCCAGAAGAGCCAGAATACTGGGCACCAATTTTCGCTTTTTTGTGGCCAAATCTACGAAGATTCCCTGTAGCGTCTGAAACAACGAGGATTGGGTGAAAGTAGCCAGATCGGTGCTGTGTGCCTTGCTTCTTGAGTGTGGAACGGCCACTGTGAGAAACCTATGGAAAATGTGGAATGCAAGCCTGGTCTCGGTACTCCAAGGTGGCAACCAGGTGTAAGACGAAACAGAGAGCAGAACTTCAGTCAACATCTTGCTCGATGAATTGATTTCCACGTCGGTGTTGCCATTAGCCTCGACGGATGCCTTCTGTTTGTCAATGGCAACTGCGCATTGAGCAAGAGCTCCCAGCTTTGCTGCTTTCAAAGAAAGGGGATCAAACACCTGAGGGTAAAGTCCTTTGGCGAAGGGAGCTAGTATTGACAACTTTCGTTGCCGACTGTGAAGAGCATCAATTCCAAGGAGCCAGTGGACACCCAACAGACGAAATGGAAGAGATTGTGAGTTCTCCCTAGACAATGAGATAAGCCTTCGCAATATGGCTCCTTCATCGCCATCAAATGACTCAATAAAATTACTGTAGATGGAAAGAACTATGTGACAAAGAACGGGACTATAGCTATGGAGAAGACTCGAAAAGTGGTGCTTTAGCAAAGAGCCGGAAAGACCGAGTGACTTGTAGATTTTAATCAAGCTTGACACGAACTCAAGCATCCCGACTGTGGTGAGGAGCTGGGGGCGCTCCCATAAAAAAGCCACCACTTTGCGGAACTCCTTCAGGTTACCTGTACAAAGTACACCGTATGAGCTCACGATGAGTAACTACTTCCAGGCAATGGGCTTCCTACGACAATGCAATGACCAATTTCCACCATCCTGCTGCTTTCGCCAGGTAAAGCACAAGTGCATCTAATTCCAAATTCGGTTCACAGTGCATGAATTTACCTGGTGTGAGATCTCGAGCTGGTATGGAAGCAACCTCCTTTCCGGGAGTGGATTTTACCAGGAAGAATGGCACAGAGTATGGAACCAGAGGGGCTGCACTTTGAAGAATTGGCAAGTAGTTGTTCGATTTTGACCGCTCTGTGTACATTTTACAAGAGAGGTTTTCCATGATTGTCGTGAGAAGAAGAATGTAATTCTGGCCGACATGAGTCCTCTCGTTCATACACAGAAGGTGAACCTGCCCTACACAACTATACAGTAAGCAAGGGTACGCCATTTCCAGCTCCCTTAAGCAATCGCATGCTAATCCTCTCAGCTGTCGGTCTGGGGTATGATTCGGCCGATTTATGTACACGAGGAAGAGCTCCACCAAAACTTCCAACTTCTCCAGCGCAGAGTGAAGCACATCGGAGACTATGGCCACGGTTGTTGCCATCACCATCATGTGCTCCTTCAAAGAGCTGATAATTATCACTCCATCAACGGGAGCTTGCAAAACACTACGCAAATGGTCTAAGATGGTTCCCATGCCCGGTGCGATATCGGATCCAAGGAGAACTTCCGAGTTCTCTTCGATGAAGACCAGCAGCTGCGCTTTGATGGCAAATTCCTTTCTCGTGATAGTCTGCAGGGCATGTTCGACCAACGAAAGCCCCGGCCATAAATTCAACCATTTCCTCTGCAGATCTGTCGAAATCCTAAATTCCGACATCAATTGCTCCCAGTCCTGCACCGACAGAACCTTCGCAGCTCCTCCCTTATCGGCCATCCTGCCCGCCCTGCTTGAAAGCCCCCGAGGCTAACCTCCGACTACTGCAAGCAACCCTCTCTTTCCAGCAAATTCCTCCCAAAAACCAAAACCACCATCCCTACACTCCAGACACCCAAAAAACAACACCGAGCCTGCTTCGGGCCCGCGGCCTCCAGCACTGCGTCACAGAAGCATCTTGCCTGAGGCCGATGGATGGATGCATCGGGCCTCATGATCCGCAACTCCCGGTCTTCGAGAACGCCCGCCTGCTGCTACTACTGCACCCCAGAGCCCTCGGCAGGCTTCCTTTGGCCATTGCGCGCTCATTCACCTGCTGATCAAACTCTGGTCCCCGATTCTTTCTTCCTCTTCCTCTGCCCCTTCCCCTTCCTCGTCTGCACGTTGTGCCTCTCCGACCTGCATCTCCGCCGCTCGCTCGATCAATCACTGCACATGTCCAAACATTTTCTTGATCTGAATTGCCGAGTCGATCCTTCGATGGATCGATCGATTGCGCGTGCCGTTCCTCGTCATTCGTTATTCATACTCGGCTCGACTCCGCCCCGCCCTGCCCTGCCCTGCCACCGAGAAGAAGGACGAGAGCTTGGGTGCTACTGCGCGCGCACGCATGTTCCGATCAAGAACACGAGTCACTGACTGCCCCACAACCTGCACCTCGGAGGTTCAAATGCCCCATGCGCGCACCGGTTGCAAAGCCCGGTCGACAGCTTACAGTTCCCGCTGTTGCGCGGATGCGCGAGGTCATTCGACAGTGGAAGTGCAGCACATGTCGTTCCATGTCCGTCCGTCCCTCCTTCCATTTCCTGCCTTGCTGTTCGTGTCGCTTGTCCATGGCACATGCTCGACAGGTGTGCTTCCCTTCGTTCTCTCCTCTCCTCTCCGCTGACGTTGGCTGCTCCGAACAAAGCGGAGTCCGTCATTGTTTTTCAGCTTCATGTTTTGGCGTGGAGCTCTCATCCCCTCCATCGCCCTGCGGTGGCGCCCACGGAGTCCCTTCCTTTGGAGGCAGGGTCTGCTCCCAAAGTCTGGAGAACACATCGCTTCCCTGCTTTCTCACGAGAAACTGACATTTGTCAAGTAAAAGCAACCGGGGTCAAGACATGAAGATCTTATGAGAAACTAAGAAAACTCAATCAAGTAGAACAAGCATGAAAACAAGGTTAACAGAAACTGGAGCTAGCCTCCATGTACACTATTTAGAAATATATACTGCTATCTAGATCAAATTCATATGCTGTAGCGTGAAATAACGTTATTGTTTTCTTGTAGAAATCGGTAGTTCTGCTGTATCAAAAAACTTTAAGTAATTTGCGGAGAACATGATACACAATAATTCGAAGAAAGTGAAACATCATTTCGCGTAGAATGGTGGGCTGTTGCGTAATATCTCCATAATATGTCAAAATTTGCATCCATAGAGTCAAGGTTACAGAACAAATGATATCTTTGCATACCCATGAACTTAGAAGATCTTGTCTTTCTTGGATGAAACGCGTGTTGGTAGCATCAAACGGCATGTGCAAACACACAAGCCGTTCATCCAAGAAGATGAATAATCATTCTCGTTGAAATTTGCATGCATACATAGTTCAATCACCTCATATGCTATTGCAAGTTGTCACTTTTTAACCAAGTAAAGATCAATAAAACACATAACAATGCTTCTTTCTATCATTGCATAGAATTTTATTCATGATTGGTACAAACACCATATCTCTAATGACATCATAAAATTTCACAATCTATAGTCCAAATAGTCTCGTTAACATCTACTACTTTATACATATTAATGTCACTAGTAAAGTCAAAAGGCATTCACAACCACATTCAATACCCTAAAAAGTGTCACCGAGAGCTTCAGTGAGCTCTTTTATGTAAGGACAAGATAGCAAACCTAACTAACTGTGGTTAAGCTAATCCAAGTTAAATGAAGATCTGAATTAATTCCTAAAAAGTATGACAAAAATTAGGAAGAGATATATTAAAAACTTTTTTTTATATTACTAAAATTTATGAAATAAAAAAATGATGCAATTCAAAAAATTCTAATACATTATACAGCTAGAATCTAAAAACTTGCAATTTTTGTTAGGGTAATAAATATTTTTTTCAAAAAAAATGCTAAATTTGGAAATTTTTTAAAATAAAATTTTCTGATATTTTAATTATAAAAATTTGTTATAAGCTGTAGGTGCAAAATGTAAAAAAAAAAAGGATTTTAAAAATATTTAAACATAAAAAAATTTCACAATCATAAAAAAAATGTGAATGAATAAATATGTATTCATATATTTCGCACAGATTGTATAAACAAATTAATTATCAAATCACAACATAAAAAAATGATTTAATTGAAAAATTAAAATTATATTAAAATGTCTTAGATATTTTAAGTTAATCAAAATTTGATGTGAGAATTAGATTTTTCCATATATAATAATCTTATCACATCACATGATATTGACAGAAATACATGTCTCCAAGCAAAATCTTCTTTCATACAATTCAAAATCTTAATCTCAATGTAATCATGAGATAATCAATAATTTGCTCATGAAATGTCTTCAAGTATAATAAGACTAATGATTAAAAAGAAATTATGTCAACAAGATAGGTGAAAATATTAGTATTGGTGAAAAAAAGTTATCAAACAACTCAAAACAAGATCATCCATGTGCAATGTTTCTTTAGTTCATAAAACATTATGTTAACATGTGATAAAATTATTAGATAATAAAGTGATACTTTTACATCACTTAAGTTGTTAGATATATAGTTGGCTTGGATACAGAATAATGTATCACAATAGATAGCTATAGATTTTTTTGGGAGTGACAAATAAAAAACTTACATATGAACATAAAATCTTACACTTTGATTCTCATTTTTTTAAGTTTAAGATGTGCTATCAAGTAGTCAAAGTCATAAACCATGATGTTAATTGTGACCACAATTACTTTATATTTCCTTAAAACTTAAGTCATATGAAAATAATAACAATTTTGATGTACAATGAGCCTTGATGAAAGAAATATTCATTTTTGATGATCTTCTCATTTTGTAAATCCTAACAAAAATTATAGAACTTCTTGAGTTTAAATATTATCCAAGTTGCATAGGGTCATTAGGTTGCATTTAGAGAACTTATATTTAGATCCAATCAATACTATATATATATATATATATATAGAGAGAGAGAAAGAGAGAGAAAGTTATGATTATATTTAAACATATTAATGAGTTCAAAAGACATAATTGTACATCATATTCATTTACAAGTAAGCTTTATCTTTAGTATAAATCAAGATAGTAGGTCACATCATCTATGTTATCAAATTTTTGACACAATTTTTTTTTAATTCTTATGACTTCTTTTTGTGTCCAAGCAAAAATAATCAATAAATGACTTTGGTTTTATATACTGCCATTAGAACAACATGCCATTCAACTTCTTGTATCTAACAAAAAATTTCTACCACTATCAAAAATTGAAGGACTTTGGTCGCAGGGTTTTTCAATTGAATATTGTTGCTCATACGTGAAAAAACAAAAATATATAAACATTCAACTTTTGTAAAAGAAAGCGATTCAAAAACAACGCAATAACTTCCAAATATCTTAAAATATTATTGAAACCTTTTCTTCATATGCATGTGCAAGATAATAAATTGTAAATTGTTAAGTTAAAAAGTCTTAATTATCAAATATAGGCCATCAAAAATTTCTAGTGTGGACATTCTAACAAAGTGAAAAAATGCTATTAAAAGAACATACAACTCACAAGTTCCAATACTATATAATCTCAAACAATTGGTCTTCTATTATCACGACTTTTTTTCATTGCAAAAAGCTCTCTGAAATTAGTGTGATTCATTTTTTATGGATGAATAAAACAAGCAAAAAGCAAACATAAAGTAGACATATTTTTTCATGCTGGATTTGTCATAAAATATAGATTAATCTTGTACTAAAATTCTTCATTGTCATAAATTGAGACATATATTAAATGTCAATCACTCAATTTGAATTATAACCTTTTTAGTTTGAATTTTTTTTCTCGCTCTTAAAATCTAATCTCTACTGCAAAATCTTCAAAATTTTAATGTTTGTAATAAATTTTTGTTATGATTGGCACACTATATTGCCTTTAAACAAAAAAATTAGCATAGAAAAAAGAAAAAAATAAATTATTTTAGCTTTTTTATATAATGCATACAAATTTAATATGAAAAATTTTAAAACCATTAAAATAAAATTTAACATGGATATCCAATCTAAAATAGAATATGTTGGATCATTTGCATGTTTCGACATATATATTAAATTTTTTTTATGAATTATTTATTTAATTTGCATAATATTCAATATATCTCAATGTCATTACTATATTCATGGATGATTTTAATATATTTTTAAAATAAAATTATCCATACTTATATAAAACATTTTACCTTATGCAAGATAATGTAAATATGTAAGACGTATTAATTTTTTCTCTATAATGACCTCATGTAGACATTTTTGATTAATTAAAACTAACATAAATCTACGCAAGATGACAAGAAAATTGATTAATAGTGAATTATTTGTAATTATCGCATAAGCGATGTGTATGTTTGGTATATACAAAATAAATGTATTAGTTGACTATAACACATCATCAAATTTTTTTTATATTATTTAAAAATTCAAAATGTTAGTTGTGACTCATACATCGGCAATTTGTATGCTTGTTAAGTTTATCTGCTATTATTCAATCCAGTAGTAGTGTAATAAATGGTAGGAATGCTATTTTATCTCCTTGTAGCTGTTGAAATTATTTATATAAGAAAAAGCAAAGAAAACCTTTTTTTTTAAATATTTCATTTTGAGAGTTTGTATTTCATCTTGAAATTAGCTTCTCTTGGAACACCAAGTGTTAAAAGAGAAGATATTTCACTTATGGATGTAATGTCAAGTGTTACATCCATGAGTGATAATATGAATATAACTAGTAGAGAGATAAAATTTTGAAAACTTTTGCATTCTATCATAAAACTAAATCAATTGCAATAACAAAAGCATGTAAGTTTTCACATCTAAAAATGTGTTGAGGTTAATTCTAGTTAAGAAATAACCTTGGGTTTAAGCTTAAAATAGCTTTAAAGGACGATACTAGGATATTTAAACCCAGGGTGTGTGTATTATATTGTATATTACAAGACACTTAGTACGCTCATCCATGAGCTTTCCATTTGTGGTGAATCACATTACATTGGTCTCTTGATTTATCGTGTTTATTTTCAACTGTTTATCGTTACTTGATTATTGTGTTTTACTGTTTGGATTTTTGGCTAACAAAATGTAAAATAATATTCATAATGGAATAATGAAATAAAAACATATGTCAATTATTATATTGCATATTATTAGTTCAAACTAGTAGAGAATGAAAAAAAGTCAAAATGGCAAAAAAAACATCTTGTCTATTCATTTGATTTAAGTAAGATTTTAAAATATATTTCTTTGCAAATCAGTAATGATGTACTCTCTATTCTGGAAGAATGCTAACTTTCATATGAACTTTATTTTTCTTGCCACTCATCCCATACAAGCAAAATTTACCAATAAATATTAATTGTTTAAAATTTATTCTGAATATTTCATGAAAGTGTATATATTTTTTTTTTTCCTAATTTCATCATCAATTATGTATTAATTTTTAATGATTTTTTATTACATTAAATGAAAACACCAATGTGTAGTATTAAGAATGAAGAGAGTAACTCACTCAAAGATGAAACATAAATTTCTCGAAATAGAGTTTGCAAAATACTTATTGAAATTTTAGTTTAATCCAAAACTTCTAAAATTTGAGATTTGTATTTCGAATCCTAGAGTTGACCAAAAATAAATCTGGAGAGTCCATCAATTAAGTACTACTTCATGATCTTAAATGAAAATGTCTTTTGGTAATACTTGTGGAATACTAGACAAATTTGACTTTGCCGCCAATAGGAATACTACACTTACTCCAAAATCATTACAAGTTCGATTCATGTGCATGTGTACTATGTTTCTTGAATTCAAGTTCAATTCTACGATTTTTCTTATACAAATTTTGTAAGTGCATGATCAAGTGAATGAGATTATTTTCAAAGTTTAAGATGTTTGCTTCCAATTAGTTCGGAGTACATCTCGAAGCTGCAAAGACCAGAATTGATGGGGACGACAGGTAAAAGAATATAACGTAGAATAAATTCCATGAAATACACCAAATTGCACAATTATGCGACGTAATGAACTACAGATGATCAAAAAATTTCATTCAGTAAGATCTTGTATGATAATCTTGGAGCAAAAATAATCAATTGATGGTCAAATGGTCAAATACAATAAGCATTCACCCATACATTTCTCGAGATCAACACTTGAAAAAGTCAATTTATGAAAGGTAGATCTAGATCAATTATAGTAAGGTATCGAGTAGTAACGTGCGTCTGTATTCTATTTCTAAGTAAATTCCAAAATTGCCAAAATCAAGACAAGTAGAATCCATAATTTAAGTAAATTTGTGTAATTACCTTATGAGTCTTGACTTAATCTCAATAAAAGACTTCTTGATCTATGGATGAAGCTTGCCGTGACAAATAACATATTTCAGTGTCTCCATCTATGTGCTTGTGCATTATCAAAATTTCCACACAATATTTATTTATTTATTTTTTTACCATATATGACTATATTCATTTTTCATATTAAATAGTAAAATCCATAAAATTCATTAATCTACCACATAAATTTTATCTTATGTGCCATTTAAATATACTTGAATTTTATTAACATGTGATTTTTTTTTGAATAAGTGATTAAAATAGTATATTGAAATGATTTTTTTTATATTATTCCAATTTTTTTTTCACCAAAGATTCCTTTATCTGATATTTTGAACTTCAAAAATTCAAGTTCATGCATTATCTGTTGACACCAACAACGTTTACTACATAAGATGTTGTTTCATAAATATTTATACTCAACTAAAAGTGCAACTTTATATGTTGTTCTTATCTAGTATGCACATACATGTAAAATCATGATGTATATGGTTGCAACAACAATGACCATAGAATATAAATCATGATACATCAATAAAAAGTAATAAATCAAAAATATATCTTTTAATGCTAGGAAAAGGTATGAAATGGTACAAAGCTCCATCGTTAATTGCATGTATGCAATCAGTACCAAAAATCCATTAATTCAACTTGTTAGAAAGTGAACGGTGTTTACTTACATATCTGATTCTTCAAAATCACACCATCATCATACTCGAGTTTCAAAATATAAGATGGTGAATATTGACCCACTTAAAAATATGCAACCTTTGAGAACTATTAGCTTCTCCAATTTATTGAACATAAAACATCATATGATATGAAATTGCAACGACTTGTTAAAAAACTCATTGGCTTGAAAAAAAATGATAAATCAATCAATGATATACAACACATTAGAGGTTTCAAATAAGATCAAACTTTTCATGGATTTCCTTGATTGATTTTCTAAATGATGATGTAAGTTATGTTGATTATTCTCTAAAAAAACAACACCAAGTTGTTAAAATCATAATCATATTTGTGAAAATAAATATGTAGCTATATTATACACATCTTTTGGCAACTCAAGAAAAGAAAATCCTTGATCCTAATGATTCATATTTTGTTCGTTTCGACAATTTTTAATCGTGATAGATGCCGGACGAATGATGCATTGCTAACATAATGTCATCGTATTCCATGATTTCATGACTGTCTTGGTTATTGTACGCGGAAAAGTGGCTGCTGGCTGAATCACATTGCTGTCTCAAGAATTGTCCAACGCACTAACGCATATCAACTTGAGCCCCACCAGCTTGCACCTTGACTCTGACTCTGCAATCTTCATATCTTGAAAAAAAATGCAGATCCTTGAGCAACTCTGCTATTGCCAACACTATTTCTAGACAGTTTTTTTGAGCTTGTGAGGCACGACACTGACCATACAAGCACTCGGTTGGATGTTGTCATTGAGAACAATTAGAAAATAATTGCCAGTTATGAGGTGTGAAGTTTAAATTCCGAGTTTCGTACTGCGTTTGAATTCAATTCGTTCATTCGAGCATGTCTTGTGTGAAGTAGTGCAAATGAGGCATGTCCATGGACATGCTTCCTTGCCTCCGTCCGGAGGCATGCATTTGAATTTGTTATTTTTAAAAACATAATCAAATTAAATAAAAACATAAATGTTATTCTAATAAAAATCATTTAAAATGTAAATCACATCAATGTAATTTACATTGGAGTCACAAATGCAACTTGAATTTACAAATTATTTTCATGTACTTCAAAAAACATCTAAAACTTTAGTTTGTATCAATGCATGATATGCATCAAATAGATATTTTTTTAATTTAAAAAATCTTTAAAAATTATTTAAAAACTTTTTTATCATGCATAATTCTGAATTTTTGATCATAAAAAATGAAAAGACATACCACATATTATAGACCAACAACAAGGAGTCTACAATGACTTTTCAAGATGAGATGTTGACTATAAGTTCATTTTGTCTTGTAGTTTGCAAAATTTAAGAAATTTCAAATATTATTTTATTTTACAGGACCATCATATTCCTTATGTTGATTGATTCCTAAGCTGGTTTAACACCTTGATCATATTATCTTGCTTCTTAGTATTATAAGTAAGTAAATAAATAAAAATAAACATACATTTGCTAAAATTACAATCAAGATGTAACAAACAGAGTTCATTGCGTTTGCAATTATGTTTTGCTCGAGTTTGAAGACATTTGGAATTACTCGATGAATTGCTCGTCAGCAATATTTCACATGTTAGATTGGGAATTATTCACATTTTCTTATCAAGGCAGCGATTACTTGTTTCAACATCACGCTCAACATAATATGAAGATAGACATCTTCTTCTGGTGGATAAGTATTGTTGTTGACTGCTACGGCAATCTATTTCTTGTTTGCATTGACCAGGTGTCTGATTTTGATGCCAGTTTGGACATCAACGGTCACTGTCAGCCTACTACATCTAGCCCCGGTTTTCTCTATCACGTGCCTCCTGTCATCGAGATCCACAAAAAACATATCTAAAAGCCGAAACCGAAGAGGTCATGTGCACATTATTACCAGTTTGTATTCAGCTTTTGCTAAGGCCAGGAGCGTGCATAGCTGACAGCCAGAATAGTCTGAATCTTGCTAGAATTTTTGATACAATCTTAGACCGAGGGCAAAATTACCCAATCCTGATTTCTTTAGTATCCAGTTAGAATCTAGAGGTCCCATGATCCGACACATGTTCGACCACCGGCCTGCAGCAGACGCAGCTCTACTGGAGTTTGATGTTGATGGAGCCTCAGTTCCGGCGGCCTGGGCTTGGCTGGCAGCACTATTGGGGCGTAAAACATCTCAGTGCTGCAGGAAATACCAAATCACAAGAAATCCTTGTTATCATTGTCAGATGGTTTTGCAACATTACTAAGTCTTCCATGAACAGATAAGATATGGCTTGTTCTGCAAGCCTCAAGGCGTAATACGTTTAAGACCCAGTGAACTAGGTTGCAATTCCAGTCATAGGACAGTTTACAAACGATTTTCAGGACGGTATGTCGACGAACTTTGGAGGTGGTTTCGAAAACGAAAGCGGGGTCACACTCTTTGCAGCTGGAGCTATAAAGTATAGATCATCCCGAAGAGGAATGAACGATCTGCATTTCGTCCACTAGAGTTGAATTTTATGCTTGTGTGCAAGCTACCGACAGTACGGACGGTAAAGCAGATTCCGGACATGCGTGCAGCACCAGTTTCAACTCATACTTTACGTACGTGATAATGATGAAAGCTGCAGGCAGAGATGTTTCCAAATCCACGCACATAATCAATATCATGCAGCCAGCCGAGCGTCCACCAAGTTTATTGCTCTCACTCGCAGTTGCCTCCATTGATGATCTGGGTCAGTAACATCTTGATCAAGTGATGGATGTAAGTAGCTGGGATCGTGATGTGGACAGTTGATAGATCGACGAGAAGAGAAGAGAAGAGAAGAGAAATGTACGCTGAAGGCAGCTCAACAAATGCTTTTGTATTCAGTTTGCATCCTCAAGTGGTCACCTTCTGTAGGAGAAATCCCCGTTGTTCGTATCATGTGCTCGCATAAACGCGGATGTGAGAAACATGGGTGACGTCCAATTGCCACACACACATATGGTTATCATATTTGTCTCTTGCGCCGAGTACTGCGGATATATATTGTTGGACATACTCCATTAGAGCACCAAAAGGCATGCAACATAGCACTTGGTCTACCGTAGACTCCCCAAGTATGTTCACCAAAGAACTCTATCTCTATCGCGAACCCTGTCTTTCTCTTCGACGACATCATAAGCTTGTCTTTGAATCTTAATCGAAGACCGTCTGGAAAGTTCTGTCTTAGACAGAACTTTCCACACAGTCAACCAACTGTAGATCATAAGGACAACATGGCCAAGCTAATGTTTGAAATCAGTGATCCTATTCTCATCGTACGTCCAATTTGGCAGTCTGTAACATTTGTTATGTCCTAAATTTTATATTTTTTTTGGCCTGAAGTCTGATGAGAGTGTGGTTCCCAGAGAGGTCACGAACTTGTTCATCAAAAGCTTTGAGCGGATGAAGTTGGAGAGCCAGAAACTAAAATTGATCCTGATATAAAAGCAGAGCGCGAGTATATCCAGCGTAATAGCATGATATCCGAAGAAGCTGGAACAGAGCACAGAACAGGGCGCTCATGTCCCAGGCACTTCGGTTTTTACATCCTGTACTAGCAACAGTCGAGTCAATTAAGTGATTTTAAATTCCCAAACCGAGGACAAATCTCGAACTAGGAAACGAGTGCACATCCATTCCATGAGGAGGAAAGGGTAGAAAAGGCATGGTTGACAGGAGACTAACAACAATTGATTTTTTCTTCCTGCTAATGTTTATGTGAAGGTAAGCTCCCAGAAGACGGTGTATCGAAACGATGATTATTTGCTGTAGGACTCCAAATTACGACACACTTAATCAAACAATCAGTTTCACAAGGACGCCTAGCTGTACTCAACTAGGCTAGAAGGGTAGGAAAGGTATTGAACTTCCAGAAAGTAAACAAAGGACAGCGCCTAACCGACAGTAAGGCAACAAATAAAGAATCAGAGCAGCGAATCTCTATACCAAGTTAATAGATTTTCTGAAGCTTCAGTTTTCTGTGATATGACGAGCAAAGAGAATTGAAGTTGATCTCGAAGCGGGGACCAAGGTGACGATGTCAACCGTGAACTGCTGTCAAATAGAAACTTCCATGACAAACTTTCAAATTGGAAATCAGTAGGAAAGTTACCATAAAGTAAACTGCATAAGGTGACTGACAGAAGCCAACACGGGCTTTCAGAGGAAAGAGGCAAGGAAAAGTAGGCCACTTCACGAGAATAATTAAAGCCAGGATGAGCGGGTACAGACTGAGTAATTGCGGAAACTGAGGCTGAAACATGTCACACTAAGAGCAAATTTCTGAAATCCACGATAATAGGAGCAACCATCACCACCCCAGTTATGAAATTGAATAGTTCCTGTAGCTCGATTCGACTCGAAGCTAGCTCCATGGCCTCATGATAAAAAATAATCGACGCGATAACTGTAACCGATGGTATAACAGAACGAACTCTTTATATAGTCTCAGCTGAAGGGTACGCCACGAGCGTGAGAAGTCATCTCAAGCGGACAACATAGCCCTCAACCGATCATATTGTACACGCATTCACAGGCTTCAGGCTCCATCTGATTTTCTGCTAATGGCTAATTATAAGGTACGGCCGCCGTTCGTGATGCTACATAATGATGGTTGATCAGGAGCAGAGCATCACCGAACGGCTTAGCCTCACGACGAGCATTAGCATATTGTTGATCTCTCTAGCCTGAAGTCATATATACATTCGGAGCACTACTGACCAATGTCAGTGAAGACGGCGGCAACTCGTGCAACTCCAGCAGCCTCGGTGGCGAGCAATACTGGGGCATAGATCATCGCGGGGCTGCAAGCAGAGAGAAACTTCTGAATCAGATAATTCTTCCTAGGTCTGGTATATTGTGCGCTAGTCTCAGCTGCAGCTCAGTGAATTACAGAGTCTAAATCAACCGGGTCTCAGGAGAGTATCCAATCCTACAATACTATTACACATATCCTCTCAGACTAAATTGAGCAGACAATACATGGCTTGAACCTTAGTGTACCTTGAGGTGGTTTCGATGCCGAATGTGGGCTCGTAGCACTCCTTGCAGCTGGAGCTGTGTATATGAACAAACGCCAAAGAGGTGGGAAGAGTGAGTCACAGCATGGGTATAAGATTGATTCCAGAACCAAGGAACGGGACCGCTTCTAAACGAGTGGAATACATCTGGACACTGTGGTCTACGAATCTGAACCACTACCAGCTCGCAGGCAACGGAAAATAAACTGGACGACAGACAATTGCGCACAACATGGCAATCAGACTCACTCGCAGTTGCCTCCGTTGCTGGTCTTCCTGTCGCAGTCGCAGCTCGACATGGTGAAGAGTAGATCGAACACGAAGGCGGACTGTGAGGTATGAAGATGATCGAACGAGGTGAGATCGACTGACAGTGCAGGCAAATAGAAACTCGCTTGAACTCGACACACTGAGGAGAGCAGTGCGGGAGGCTCATTTATAGTCACAATGGCACAGTGCCCGCTCGCTCACTTCGTCTGGGCCCGATCATCAGCAGCATCATCGGCAGCGTCATCCTGACGGAAGGATCTGGAGAGCCCATGGGCCCCGCCCGATTCAGTCGAAGGCATAAAACAAGCGGATTTTCGCAGTCGCGAATCTTTCTGCCACAGGACAGGGCGTGCAAGCTTTTGTCCACAGCGGATCAAACGCTGCTTTGATCTATCAAATGACCAAAAGACATTCTACGGGCACACGCCTTTGTCACCCTCCGGCTACAGTCGCGCAGCGTCTGTCTGAAAGCTTCTCCGCGAAGGCACGTCCTGAGCCTCGCAGATTTTTCTTTCCCAAGTCCGACACGGGATCACCTGGAGCCAGAGAAAGTGAAAAGAAGAAGAAGAAGAAAGATTCCGCGCTGAGATCAGCCGAGCAGATGCCAAACTCATCCCACAGCAGACCAGTCCCATCCCTCCGGCTCCATGTCGGCGTCGACTCGCTCGTTCTCGTTCTCGCTCTCGTCTCGTTGCGAAGATTCGAAGAATCTCGTCGGCGATGCTTCGGCAACCGGCAGAGATTGGAACTCCGCGAGTGAGCCAGTGAATCCCGATGCGCGTGAGCCCGGCCGGGTGGCAGTTACGGTTATGTCAGCGTATACGATCGGACGGGGGCGGTGTCATACGCTTTGGGTGCGATTCGGATCACCATACTGTTGAGGGGGTACGAGTGGACGGGCGCAAGGCACATGGAGCTCGACGCGCGGGCGTCAGCTATGAATGCCTCCGTACTTCCTTTCCGCCCGGCCCGCGCCAGCTCTCGGCCCGTGCAAGTTATCGTCCGCAGCGGTACTGTCCTTGTCCGGGACCGGGACCGGGACGGTCTCGAGACTCTTCTGTTCTGTCGTCGGTTGGAAAGGTTTGTCCGTCCGTCCGGTCGACGGCCCTCGAACCAATGCACGCGCTCTGAGGAGCTCGGTACTAGAACCGCTGCAGCGCGGCGGCGAGTACTGTGTACGTACGGCCGTGTTCCTTCGACGGGTCGGTTCCGTTTGCGGTGGTATTGCATGAAGACACGAGTTCCGGTTCGGGACACCCTGTACTTTACTTCGTACCCTGAGCGGGGCGGGCTCCGAGCGCACCCGACGGTTGGGCCGTGTCGGACTCGATCGAACGCCGGGTCCCGGGTCCCGTCCCCCCCGGACGACTGGATGGTGAAAAGTCGGGAAATTGAGAAACAAGCCACGTACGGCTCTCGAGTTATGTAACGCCCGATTCTTGGGGGATTTTCGAGCCGGCAGCCAGAACATTCCAGTCGGCACATGTCTCGTTGTTTTTATTCAGCTCCCAAGAACGCCCATCGAATCTGTGAGTCCGAGCTCCGAGTCCTGACTGGACTTGGACAGAATTCCTTTCAGGCTCTGTGAGTCCGAACTTTTACAGTCTTAAGACTTAGAACTTATGCACCGTTCGACTGCGGACTCTTTTTTTCCCGCTGTGAGGCAATCCAAGATCTGGAATCACTTCCGACGATCACGAGGACGTTATCGTAGCATCTGTCAGCTTAATGTATCTAATCCTTGATGAATTGTCTGAGTCCTTATCAGGACTCGAGTATGAGTGAAATGCCGATGATTGTCGGGGACATTCGGAAGAACGAGATATGAATTTCTACAGCACTGATATGCACGTGAGCCTGAATAGGCGGACGATGTTCCTCGTCGTGGAAGACAAGCTGGGCATGAAGTTTTCCGACGAAAGCTGCTTGATAGCAAATTGCTCAAACGTGTTGCGCAGTGAGTTCCTTAAACGTACCGGTTTCGTGTGAAGACCTTCACCACTGTCGATGCATTAGCTACTAATGAAATATCGATGCTACATTTTTTGAGCCCATCATCTGTGTCAGGGAGCTAGCAGCGCTTGCAAGTAGATATGGCTCTGAATTGATGGGAAGTAGCTGTGGCTTTCGAGGACTAGGATTCTTGGTCATGAGAGCTCCACAATCTAAATCTCTTCCAAATATTGGTCCCAGTCATCAGATCACACTGTTTCTAACATTGTCCTTATGAATAGCAAGCCAGAAGCATCAAGAATAGTGAACGGGTAATTTCGAAAAGCTAATATATGACTTGAACGCTGATCGATAAGATTTACGTAGGCCATGTTATTTCACTGCAATATGATTTCAATGCACTGGGACATACATGGCATCCTGTAGTGAAATGATTTGTTCAGCAAAGCCCAACCAACCGTGTGCAATTCAGGAATCAGATGATCAGATTTGAAACGCGTAAAACCCTCAAATTTATTGATAGCTTTTGACAACGGTTTGGTGTCTCATAAACATCTGAAGCTCACGCACACAGACCGATCGTCTCCAGAGTGTACATAGAAATTAATGCCTCAAGTCGCGTGATAAGATTTTTCCAGAGCTTATCCGGCCACCCAGTTCTGTTCCTGATGTTGTGAACGTGGTCTTAGAACTGTGCGGCCGGGAGATTCGCAATGGGCATGATGAGTCGCCTTGAGTGCATTCTCATATGTACATCGGAGTTTCACTGATCCATGTCGTTGAAGACAGCGGCCACGCTCTCGACTCCAGCAGCCTTGGTGGCTGCCAGTGCTACGGGGGCGTAGGACATCTTGGGGCTGGCGGAAGTATCAACAAACAGCAGATTGATTATTAACTTATTAGACCTGCAGCGTATCTACAGCAGGAAACATCCATACACGACATTTATCACTAACGAGGACTGCAGATTGTCTGACTGACCTGGATGAGGTCTCAAAGGCGAAAGTTGGCTCGCATTCCTTGCAGCTGGAGCTGTAAGCAAGAATATCAAATACCAAGTGGCCGTCAGAGTCAGAAAATTCCAATGGCATCAAAAAATGACCGACGTGTCAAATAGCGTGCCTAGTAAAATGCATCCCAGTAGTCTTGAGGGGACGACCAGCTTTCGCTGATGTCGCAGAGGCCCAACTCGAAAGAATGATCCACTAAGTCAGAACAACGTGGAAGCTTGGCATCACGCAATGGAGAAGATGGATCGAGAACTCACTCGCAGTTGCCTCCGTTGCTGGTCTTCCTGTCGCAGTCACAGCTCGACATCTTGAATGGTAGAAGACGTGGAACCGAGGTGTATGAAGAACTACGGGGCAGATGAGAGCTGGAAGGCAACGAGTCACTTGAATCAACTGAACTTGCTGTAATGAACTGTGAAGCTGCTCTTCTTATGTACGAAATTGGCGACCTTCCAGACCGAAGTCCATGGGCCCATCTAACAACGAGCCAATCAAAAGCAAATGGCTGCTGACTGATGGTGATCTCTGCAGTTGACAACTGATCAGATTCTTGTGATTTTTGTCTACAGTTACTTTGCACCAAAAAGGTAACGGTGATCCATCAGGTCGCCAAAAGACACGCTTCGGGCACACGCCGAGGGCCCAACTTGTTTCAGAAACCGACTTGTTACTGAAATTGCTGGGGCTCTCATGTTCTCTCTCTAGGGGCTCTAGGGGACAAATCTGCTTTTTGTACGATAAGCATGGATCCCTCGTACCCGGTCTATCACAGCCAGATATAGATAATCAAAGCTTCTGTCGGATTCGTCTGGTACTCCTGTACCAGAGTCTCGAGTGTACTGTGTTTATGGTCGTACCAACAATCGAGTATTAACGTTTTCTGTCATTGCTGATCCATCGATCCAAAGAAGGTAACGTATAACCCATGTGACAAAAACTGGCTGTAAACCCAAAGTTGTTTCTGTTTCACAAGTTGGATGGCGTTCTCGAGGAGGAGGTGGAATTTAAAGAAATCTTTGTACAGTTCCTTGGAGGTTTGAAATTGCCCCAAGACTATATATACCACAAGGATTGAGATGGAAATCGTGCAGATTGACTTAAGAAAACTGTAAAACGTAGGGGTTGATTTCATGCGCTTTGAAATATGAGAAAAGATTGGAAGATCAACCCTCATCAGCTATTCACGCGTTGGCAGAATAGGAGAGAGTGGAGTATGAGTGGATGTTAACCAACTAGAATTCTGATTGAGTGTTATGTGACACAATTATAAATAAATATGTGATTCTATTTACACAAAGAGCTCTAGGATGGTAGCGAAATTATGCTTTATTGTACAAGATTTTTTAGGCCAAGATACAAGGCTATCACCAACGTATAAAAACTCATTAGTCCATAGAGCCGTATCCATAAGTATATCAATGAGTATCAATTTGTGCCGGAGGAAAATCTTGCAACAAAATATATTAAACAAGATCGATTATAGTACATCCTAACCCCATTTGTTAGTGCACTAGCCACCATAACAATAATCATTAAATCTCATAAATTGAAGTGAATGGGGCCCTATTTGAGCTTTGCGCTTGGGCAGTATGTTAACTTCGGCACCCCAAGAGTAAACAACGGTAACTGCAGTATCTGCTCATCAATGCGCGCAACTAACTAACTGCGATTTCGTTACAAATTTGATACACGAGATTTGTTTTACACATTAAGTTTTCTATATAGTAAACATATAAACCAAATATCTTTGGACCATCCATGTTCAAATAATGAAACGAATATGCGGAGCATGATAGTGAGAAATTACACATCATTACATCAACAACGTTTGACAAGGTACGGGCACAGTTTCATGCATGTCTTGAGTTATTCGAGCTTGCATAATCTGTACTAGATCCATAACCTGTAATAGAGTTTCATGGTCCATGGCAATACATGCTATTTTGTTTATATGTAATTTTAGGTACTCTTGTTGTCATAGGATGCAAAAGTCTAGGACCTTTTTCAGCGTAGCAGACGGAGTGGAATGAAAAAATCACAAGACTATATCAACGTAAACAATCTGATTCATTATTGTCTACGACCGATAAAGAGGTAAACGAACAGCATAGTCACATATGGAAGTGCCCATAAATGTGAGTACTATCGTAATCATCACATCTATGGAATATCTCGGACTAGTATTGTGGTACGTAATGTTCACGAAGTATCATACATGAATTATAGACAGGTGGATGAGCTAACCCACATATCTGGAAGGGGAAAATATGGCTTGTTCGAAACAAGACTGAGTATCTTCGAAGTAGTTAACTGAGAAGGAAAAAAATCATACTAGGTACTATAATTACCGCTTCCAAATGAATGGCCCTCGGGAGCTCCAGCCATCCTCTTTGGAATGTATCCTAATATTTGTTGGGTGACAATTCTACTGCGTACGTAACTCAGACTTGAAAGAGATCACGTCGCGTCCCGATGTGAACCGCAATGATAAAGAAAACGGTGACCTGTCTGATTAATGGCCGATTGCGACTGTGCATCTGTCTTCCGTTTCAGCCTCGTGTCCCTTACAAGTTCGGACACCCTCTCTGCACCCCTTTACATTAAATACGCAAATCTTTACTGTAGAGCAAACGCTGGACCGACACAGCAGTTCGTACAAAAGTGTAGAAAAGAAATATCCCAACTTGGGTCCAAAATTTTCATGAGTGATAAAGGATAAGCCGATGTTTAGCAGAGCTAAGTACGGAGGAGGAGGATCAAACCTAACAAAGGAATCGCTTTCTAGGCTCTGCTGCGAGAACTTGGTCTGTTAGATCTACTCACGACACTCTAGGCCAAGCACAATGAAGTAGAATAAAATATTCCCAAGTATGAGTGCTTCTCCACGAGGATATGTGAACATGAGCTGGGCAAAAGCCATTCTCTTCCTCGATTCCGTGATGTGAATTTTGAACTCCTTTCTCGAAATTTATAGAGGAAATACGAATCTATGCATCGAATCGACACGGTTTCCATGCATTCGTTGCTTGTCGCAAGAGAACACCTCTCGAGCCAGACCCGAAGCTCGCATGTTGTTTCAGCCTTGTACGCTGGTCTGTAATGATATGGAAGGAGGCATTTTGTAAGGGTTTTCAGGTTCTGTCCATGCGGATCTTCCTTTTTCTAGAGAAAGTGATGTCGAGGACTGGCATATGCACGTCAGCAAACGCGGCCTGAACACATATATGGTCATCAAAGTCTGGGTGTATGCAGCGCTCCACAATTAGGAATTTAGAGCACATTCTAGAACCGAACCTTGAATTAATAGGGACATTCAACGAAGTTTAACGTTCTGAGCGAGCTTCACTTCGGCATTCATATGGAGATAGATATTCCAAAATTTGAGACTTGTCCATAATTTTTCGGATTTCAGCGGAGCATAGTTGAGTGCAACTTGTGCAAGAGTTTGTCTGAACTCCAAAGGCGGAAAATTCCCGAAGAGTCTGAGGCAAAGCACAAGAACATGACACTGACTGATCCAGGAACTTAGGCTCTAGATAATGATTCCGATGTAAGTGAATTTAGAAATCAATCCAGTTGACGCCGATTCGTACATGTTTTCCTGGATAAGTAAGTGAGATCTATCTCCTCCTCGACCGCCACCAAACTTAAGTGGGTCATACTTTATGATCACTTGTTACAATGCCATGCGTTATGTCATCAATATACCCTGGTTCGAGTGGGTGAATGCAAACCAACTGGTCGAGTTTCAAGATTATCTTGCAGAAGAATTATTATTGATTTTTCACTCAAAACAATGCGTTTAATACTGTTTTTGAATCCAATATTCAGCGAACTTTCCGGAAGATTTTTTCATTAAACTTTAGCTTGAAAGGCAGAGGTCAGCAGACATAGCAAACCATTTACTCGCTCTGCTTAAGGCACCTCAACATTGGCTTGAACCATCTAGATAAATGTTCATGTTGGTTTCATCTGACCATCCAAGTACTGCCAGAGACAACTTGCTGCACTAAGTCTCCAACCTTTAAACGCTGCTGGTTTCAGGATCAAATCACTAGTTTTTCTTGCCGCAAAACAAATCTCAAGCTTTTCTAAGCAATTTCGATATATATATATGTGTTGCCAGGTATGCACGGTTAGCAAGGACAACAATTCTCTCCCGAAAGATTATTCCACTGTAAGCATATATTGTATAAAACATCCAATGACACCTCAGAAATATTCACAGGTTGATTTTATTGAAGAGTCGAGAATACATCCTCAGACAAAAAAGTTACCGATTGTCTGGTCGCATGGCAAGGCATGTAATGAGTGTTGATGGGCCCGCCCATGGCCAGTCTGAGCGGAACTTCAATTGGCTAAGCCCGGGGCATGCATACCCGATGGCGTAAGTTATTTTACTTCGTCAAGGTCGAGTGCAGAGCTATAAGAACTTGAACATTCGTCCTCGAATACAGAGTAGGCTTATGCATATTCCCATGACCGGATGCATCTCTAGACCTTCAATCGACAGATTCACTGGCCTATATCTGCGACGGAAGCCTCAACAGCCACAACTCCAGCAGCCTTGGCGGTCACCACCACAGGGGAGTAGACCATCTTTGGGCTGCAGAACATACCAAATCACAACCGGTCCTGTTAACACTGGGAGAAGCTTTGCTACATAGATGGGTGTTTAACATAGAACATGTTCAACAGCAGCAGGGTTGAAGATTGAGCATCTGAACACGATGTCTGCTAATGCGTCTGCAATTCTAGTCAATTTTAGATGCCATCCCACTCTCAATGCCAAAGGATCAAGTAACGAACCTTGAGGTGGTCTCGAAGACGAAAGTGGGCTCGCACTCCTTGCAGCTGGAGCTGTTGTGTACATACACATCAATCAGAAGGTCAACATTCGGTCTAGGCTGTGAGCAACCGAAATAACTCAGAGGACACAGAATCCAAGGGTTTATGAACATGCGCCCAGCTATCAGCCAAAACAATCCACTACACTCAGATCATGATGAGTGTAGTGCACACATTTTATCAAGTGCAAAGACATAATCTGATTCAAGCGGCCGACGATGCATCAAATTCTGAGCACTTACTCGCAGTTGCCTCCATTGCTGGTCTTCCTGTCGCAGTCGCAGCTCGACATGATGACGGATGTGAGTAACCGGGATTGCGATAGAGCTAGATGAGGAAGTTGTTGATCGACTAGAAGATTGAAGGCAGCTCGTTCTTCACTTGCTTCATCAGTGCATCAGTGATGCCAATTTATAGGCCTCACGTCCGAGGGTGCCTCTGTTCATGTGCATGCACGCAAGAGACTCCCTGCCAGATTCCCAGACCATGGGTCCCACACACTTCGATCAGTAAATCATCAGCCCTTGTTGACTTTACGAGTCCATGCAGCCGATCGAAGATTCCTCTCCGTAATTTCTCGCCACATTACTTACTCCACATCGATAACTTCCGCCGCTGTGCGGTCAGAGAGAAGTGCGCCGGTGGACTCTGGTCAGCGAAGGAAGGCATTGGCATTGGCCGAGCAGAGGGCGGAGATTCAAAATACACGCATCGGGCACTCCCCACGCTGAGTGAGTCTCGATCACGGTCGAGTTTTCACGAGCAGGCAGATTTTGGAATCACGTAATCAGCTTTCTCTTCATTATCATCCGATCGAACGGAACCTCTGTACGTCTTGACCACGCTTCTCTCGACCGCGACCAAGAGTCGTATGAAGGTTCTCGGCCCCCAGCCCTCCAACGTAGAAGCAATACCCGGACCAATACAGTATGGGATACTGTACAAAATACGTACAGTATGAGTATGTACATCACCCTGCTCGACAGACATGGCTCACGACAAACTAAACGAACTGCAACTGTCGCTATTTCGTCCACGCATCTGCAGGCCTGAGACATGGAAGCCAGCAGCAGCAGGAGCTTTTCGGCAAAGGGATATTCACGTTCAGGATCGTGTAAGCCAGGCTCAGGAGCGATGTCGTCGAGTTCCAGCCATACATCAGAGGCCAAGTTTCGAAGCGTTGGCTTTTGAGATCCAGAAACGGAAAGAATAGACCTCTACGGCCTCGAAAGGTGTGACCAACAAAAGGCGAGGGCGAGATTTATTTTGTTTTGGACTGGGTTGATCATGATGAGGAAATTCGTCATGAGGATTTGTCGTCGGTAGCCCAGGCTCACGTCCTGCTGCTGCTGCTCGCGTCACCGAAGAGAACGGGTTGGCCTGTTGGCTGGCTCAGCTGCAGGAACATGAAGCCAATTGCAAGCACATGGCCTGGTCTAGTTTGCATGACACAGCCCCGGCGCCATCGTCCAAGTCCAAGCTCAAACTGGTACCCTTTCATGGTGACCTTTCTGCGAGGACCGGGAGACAAAACTCCGATCATTCCGATACAAGCTTTTAGCTCACACTCGATTTGAGCTTATCTTCGGGATCTACACAGTTCAGATGTACGTCCTGTTCTGACGAGATTCTAGATAACGTAGAAATTTGGGAACAGCGGCCGTCATCGGAGAGTCCCAGATTCCACAAGCTGACAGAGGTCTGAATTTCTCTCGGGTTCTGATCACTGCGACAGTGTCATAACACAAATGCGACCACGGCATGTGGATTCCGTATCACCATGCTGGAATTCTGTGAAGACCGCACGAAACGCAGTCAAGAGTGGAACCACGGTAGCGTGCGGAGAGCTACGGTCGTACGCTGGACAGCTGTGTCGAGGTCTGAATTCTAGCTCAGAATTGGAACTTCGGCTGTCCTCGTCTACGCACTCCAGCAGCACAAGTGATATTATTTGATGCATATCTTCTTAAGACCACAGGGGTCGAGCTCAAGTTTGAACTCGAGCTCGGCATGAAGCCAAGGCGGTGACCTTTTTCCTTCGGTTTTCTCTCTTTCTGCAAGGGGCAGGCGCTTCAGGATATTTAGGCATCGATGATAGTGAATAGAAGATGATGCGTTTTGTGTTCTCTTTTCCTCGAGTTCTGGTCTTTCTGATTGGAAAGAAACTGATAATTCACACTCGGAAGTTGTGGTCACGGTTGAAGGACGAATCGGAAATGATTGAGTGGGATGAAAGGCGTGTGCTCGAAGCGTGTCCCTTGGAGATCTGACAGATCAACGCGACCTTTTCAGTCTACTGTACACTGTAGGGCACGTGCTAACCTGAGGACTTCATGAGTTTTCAAAGATTCGTAACCGATTAAGTTTGTTTTCCACCTGATGATGAGCCGTGACCAATTGCAAGCGGCGCGGGCCCCAGTAATTGTTGCGATCGCCCGGCCCACCCTGCAGCAAAGCAAACAGAAATGAAACAAATCGGTGTCCAAAAATGGAGGTATAAAGCTGGTACTTGAGATCGCATTTTCGTGTGCTCAGTTCAAGCTCGAATTTGCATTTCCAGCTCTACGATTCCTTCAAATTCTCGCTTCCTCACTCCTCAGGCTTCCCTCGGGTCCCATTCAAACCCACCCGTCATCATGTCGAGCTGCGACTGCGACAGGAAGACCAGCAATGGAGGCAACTGCGAGTAAGTCATTCGTCCTTGCTCTTTATCAACCGAATCCTCGTCCTGACTATTCGCATCGGGAAGCAATTCAGAACGGCTCCTAGATTGTGAATCGAGATCTTGCTGGAGTTATTGCAACCCTCAAAACATGAATGCTTATATTATTTCTAAATGTAGTGGATCAATTGTTTTAGTAGTTTCACGTATGTTCGTGCATCTTCCTGCATGAACCAACTGACCGGCGGGGCGTATATTATGTGTACAGCTCCAGCTGCAAGGAGTGCGAGCCCACCTTCGTCTTCGAGACCAGCTCCAGGTTAGTACCAGAATTCCCGTGCAGCTTTCAGATCCAGATCTGGAACACCACCAGGCATCCACAGACTTCGTGAATCAGATACAAAAAGTTAGGCTTTAGTTCGTGGCAGAAAACAGAAGAAAGACACTTGAAGAATGATTTCTGATAACAAGTACTAGAGCTAGTATCTCCGCAAAAGCAATTCCGACTTTGACTGATCCAATGACTTGTACAATATGTTGGGAATTGCAGCGCAAAGATCTTCTATGCTCCAGTAGTTGTTGCAACCAAGGTTGCCGACGTCCAGACCGTCGAGGCTCTCTGCACCGACAATCTAGTCCAATGAAGCTGTGAAAATGCTGTACAATAATCGCAGTCGAGTAGTGGAACTGGAGTTGAAGCTGCGTGTTCCTCAACTGCATCAGGCATAGAATTTGCTTTGTTACGGTAGTCTGCCAGAAGCAATTCGAAGTTCTAAATTCGACTGCAATGTACTTTCATGCGCTCAAAGATGCTTCAGGTTTTCCTGAGCCTCCGATGATTTCGCGGTTACTTCAACGTAGGATCATTCACGGGTGAAATAAAAATCTGCAGGCTTTGCTTTCCATCATCTTTGCAATCTGGGAATGTGACTTACATTGGTGTTTATATATTGCATGCTATCGCTAATTCACCCACCCTGACTTCGGCTGACATTCTAATAACTTCTAGAAGGTCTGATTTTACAAATAACAAATTTGGAAATTGTCAGTGCCAGCGCTGAATTTTCTGAGCGTATTGTTCCCCTTTCTTGCACGACTCAGTCTCAGCTTCTGCGTACCCAAACGCAGTCACAAGCGAAGTACGTTCACTGCCCAGTCATGAGCAGTATTGTAAGAGTAGTAGTACATCGTGGGTCAAAGCCTGCGCAAATTGAACTTGGAGCACAACAGATCACCAGATCCACGACATGGTATTGGAGAACTAGAGACAAGATGTGAAGAATAATACAGAATTCATATACAGGAACAAGGATTCACGAAACTGGACTTCTGGTTTACACTCACACGACTGAAGTGAAAGTCGAAACTTGAGATCTCACAATATTGTTTTCTTCGTAGAGGGAAACTTAATTAAGAGAGTAATCTCAGACACATTTAGAATCTGTCATGAGCACTGCTATCGTCAAAGGACAGGAACTGCTAGCTTAGTGTGCAGCACGTAGGCAAACACAGTCCATTCCTACTCACACGTCCAGATTTATCGATCGTGCGAGTATGCAGACGGTGATAGAAGCTGTTATGTCCACCCATGCTCATCAATCTCCGAAGTGTAATAGAGGTCCAGCGTCGCCCTTCGACAGTTGCAAGGTCATTCTCAGTTCCCCAGGCCAGCTGTGATGAACTCATGGAGCCAGTAAGTGCCAGACTGCATCACTGTAGGCGTCTTTCCAGACAACCAAACGATACACCATCCGAGACACGGTTTTCTGATTCCAGCGATCGATTATAATGATCTAAAAATCACAAGCATTTACAGCGATGTCAATTCGTATCCTTTATAGCTCGTCTCTCCTTCAGAATCGTCAGCTCAACTCATTTCTCTTCTCTTCTCGTCTCCTCTGCGTCAATCTCGATCGTCTGTGCCAGGAAGCCGTCACGAGCTGAGAGCTTGGGCTAGAGAGTTGAGACCATGTCGAGCGTTGTGGACTTCAGCGGAGATGAAACGGCGCCATTCTTCGGCTTCATCGGAGCTGCGGCGGCGCTGGTGTTCTCGTGTATGGGAGCAGCATACGGAACAGCCAAGAGCGGGGTCGGAGTGGCGAGCATGGGAGTGATGAGGCCGGAGCTGGTGATGAAGTCCATCGTGCCAGTGGTCATGGCCGGAGTGCTTGGAATCTACGGGCTGATCATCGCCGTGATCATCAGCACGGGCATCAACCCCAAGGCCAAACCTTACTACCTGTTCGACGGCTATGCTCATCTGGCCTCCGGCTTGGCCTGTGGACTGGCAGGCCTGTCGGCCGGCATGGCCATCGGGATCGTCGGCGACGCTGGAGTCCGAGCCAATGCTCAGCAGCCCAAACTCTTCGTGGGAATGATCCTCATTCTCATCTTCGCCGAGGCTCTTGCTCTTTACGGACTCATCGTCGGTATCATCCTCTCGTCCCGCGCTGGACAGTCCCGAGGAGAGTGACTAGCCTCTGCGAGCATCCGAGCATGCATGACGACGGCGGCGCTGCCCATTCCACCTTCCACTTCACGTTCGTGGGGGCGGACTTGACAGCATGCCATGCATGAATGTTGCAGCACTGAGTCTCGGAGTATGCGCTGGTCAGACCTCGGCAAGATCTGCAGTCCACCATGCATCTGCTACGGGTCGAGTCGAAGCGGGGCTCGTGTACAGAACATTAGGTGATAGTGAAACCTGGATCTTGGATCCTGCCTGACATGGCATTCTGTGAAGGAAACCACCAAAAAATATACTGCGCATGAAAATGTGCAATTCGACCATCGCTGCGTTATTTGTCTACCAGAATGTTGTTCACACTCTCTTTTACTTTTAGTTTAGTTACTTTTAGTTGGGTAGATTTCGGTGTTTCGAGCATGTTCAAACTAAGGACAGGACACAAGGAATCGGAGAGCCAGCTACTGGCTCTATAGGCTGTCAGATCCTTAATGGTCTGTAATGCAAGGTCAAAATCAAAGCGGGATGGGAATGTGTGAAAAACAGGGTGAGTTTGTACGCCCGTCGTTAAGCGTCTGCACTGGCCGAGTCAAAACAGGCAATCGTTGCGTGTGCAGGCCTCAGGTTACTCGAGGAGTAACTCCTCGAGCAACCTGAGGCCTGCACACAACTTGACGAACTCCCGGAGAGTAAACACTCTCCGGGAGTTTGATAGACAAGTGGGTCAGCTTCACTCTGCTTTCGCAGTTTCACAGTCAGGCTCAATCACGACCTTCATACATTTTTCGTTCTACTTTCTCTGCTGATTACAGCCCGTCCATGCACTCAGTAACAATCCAATGTCGTCGCCGAGGTTCGGTTTACTCATAGATCTTCAGGTCACAGCAGCTTTGCTCGGTGGAATCCACATTTTAGTGGCCGCTTTTTATTTGACTTCCACACTGATTTAACTATGCAAATTCATACCTCGAGCATGTCGCTCATGGCAAATACGAGCAACTCTTAGTTATAATAGTTGCACGCTTCTATTCTGCATCATCCAAACGCAGTCCTCCCCGAGATATGAAGGAATGTTTGATGATAAGAACTTACATACGCATGCGGCATATTCGAGGAACAAAACTGCGAGATCTGAATACTTAATCCGATGAGTACTTCAAAAATTTGTCGTCTGATGCGCAGGTTATACGATTCGTTTACGGCTCAAGTACTCTGAAGGTAGACCTGACAGTAGGCTACCGCAACTACTGATGGAGTGCCTTCAGCACCAACCTTCAATAGCTCTCCGGATAAACTTATGAAGAAGTATGAAAGTTGGAGGCAGTAGTCGTGATATAACGAGAAGCAGGACTCAAAAGCAGCAGAGGAGTGTCTACAAGGTGTCGCTAGTCTTTGGTCGTTGGCCTTTTAGAGGAGCAAAAGATCGTCGATGAATGTCGCAAGGACCATATTTTAGCAATGCTGCCATGTGTGTGGCTGTACCATAACCTTTGTGAGCTTTGAATCCGTAATTTGGCCATGTCCTGTCCAAAGAGAAATACGCCACGCTTCATGAGAACAGAAGAACAGACTGTTGGGCCTACCTCATAAGATGCCTTTATACGTATATAAGAGGAGCTGGAATGCAAGGCGTGTGGGGAGGAACAAACTTGTCGTAAGAAAGCATGAGGCGATCGCGAGTTACTTTCGCCAGAATAGAAGCTGCAGCGATAACTTGACACACGGCATCTCCCTGATACAGGGAACGATGTCAAACGAAGTCATTCGATAATGCAGAGCATAACTTTGATAAAATTCCAGGAAAGCGTACTTATTTTCTGGTGAAACTAAACGCAACACACTCGCCGAGCTGCTTCAGGCGTATTACTCCAGAAATTCTAGGTCGCACCTTCACTACGCTTCGAGAGTTCTCTGGAAACCCATCTGGAAGCCTGTTCCCATCCACCAGAATAAAGTCTGGCCTCGGATTTTCTTGTGATGCACATGAGAGAACTTGCACGCATGCTGACATTGCTTGCATCGTTGCCTGGATAAAACAAAAGCCAACTTATAATCCGGATCAAGTCACGAGAGGGGTTTGAAGAGTATGAGTTTAAAAAACCATCAATCTGCAAATGAAACTGTATAATAGATAGTCTAACCAAAGTTTCAGTAAAGTTCTCAAACCATCCATGCGTTCATGCATCGTGTATTGATATAGTGAAAGTAATTCATGCCAAACTCTTTGAGAGATGGGATTGTCAACACCAGATAGTTCTTACAGTCTCACATCTAGGAGAAGAGAGAAAACAGACAGTTGTGCACCAAAAACAAGTTTTGAATTCTAGGCTGCCCGCAAAGCATATGGAGGAGTGAAGATCGAGTTTGATTGCGAGTGATTTGGAACACTCGCGCAACCTAACCTTGTGCCTTAGTCAAAATGTGACTAACTCCATACACTATGAATGTGTTTCATAGTGTATGGAGCTATCCAGAGACAAAAGGCTGAGATAGATCACTGACCTGAAGGATGTTCACTTCGTCGATAATGGCGGCATCTACGACGTGAATCTGGACAGGAACAAAAAGTGGCAACACCCAAAGTTCATTAAAGAAGCGGAGGGCATAAGACATGGAACAGTCATACCTCCATGGGCACTGAGAACTAACAAACTATAAACAAGTTGAGATTTCCTAGATTTTTGACAGATGAAGGGCTCACTTAGAATCGAAATTGAAACCAACAGCAATGACTAGAAGAGACGTGACGTGACGTCCAATCAACCGGATCAAAAGAGAGACAGAATGATATCGAGAAGATACAGGAGTGTTCCAGAAGCGAGAGTCCAGAACAGTACAGCGTAGCTGATACCAGGTGTTGAAGTAATCTTTTCGTACAATTCCTCCCTTTTAGCTTCAGTCAACTTCTTGCTATCATCGATACCTGCAAGGCATAGCATTTATCCTCCAATTTTGTTCAGGGCCCAAAAACCTCCCTTTAGACCTCTCCAGTATCAATGTACTTCCCCGATAAAGGAGAAACTCCCCAAAGTTTCAGCCAGCACATTGAGGCAACTCCCGAAGTTCATTACAGAAGCGGAGAGCTGCTCTGCAACACGCACTATCAAAATAAAACCTTTGCTCGTATACTATATTAAGAAGAGGAAAAACCAGAAGGAGTTAATTAGAAGAAAACAGTGATCCATAGAATATTTTGGCCATTAAGTTTGGGCAGATAGATTATGAGAACCTTCGATATTTACAGAGGAAGGGATAATACAGGCAGCAGCGACCACAGGACCGGCCAGCGGACCCCTTCCCGCCTCATCCACTCCAGCTACATGTTGAAATCCCATGTCCCACAATTGAGCCTACAAAAGGTTACACACGGTTCCTCTTCCAATCAGTAGGAGTGATTCTAGCCAATTTACGTCAGTAAGACTATCCACAATCTCTTGTGTACACAGCAAAGATCACGATCTCAACTATTAGTGTGTTACTTCAACACAGAGGTCATTGTCCAGCATTGCGGTGTTATCAGTTTGCGCAATTCCTACGGTGTTTCGCACAAGTTGGGCATCTAAGGGAAGCTCATTCTATCGTCACAACCAGCAGCCAAAAAAACTATTGGCTCTCGGAGGGTGAACAAAAGATGTAACATTGTACATTTGTATGCGAACGTCGCGAGACAAAACAAATACTCTGAAATGACATGCTCACCTCCATTTCCCGACTGGGCATCTTTTTTTTCAATTTCCCTTCCTTGTGATGCGGCTTGATCGCAGTTTCCACTTTGAGAACAGGAAGAACTGCATGATCCGCTTCTCGAGAGTCATTTCTGAGCGAATTCCCGCTCCGAGAATCATCTTCTTCTGTCACCTTCTTTGCGCCGTTACCGGACTTTTTGACAAACGATGCAGAGGCTTTCTTAGGCTTCAGCGATGACACTACTCGTTCTGCCACAGGAGGCGAGTGGGATTAGACTGAAGTTCACCACGACTTCGGTCCGTCCTACACAAGCTGATTGAACTCAATGGAACCCTGCTCTCAAAGCCATATCAATGAAGACGAATTGGAGAGAAACACACCTGGTTTGGAAGATGCAACTGCAGATGCAGCAGCAGCGAGGCGACTTGAGCGCCGAAGCAACGGAGCAGCCATGGCTCGATGTCTAAACCATAAATTAGTCTACCGATGCATCCATCAGCAGAATTCAGAAATCTGAGGCCCCATCAGGATGAGCTCCACTCTTCGTGACTGAATTACATCCAGCTAACAAGTCACATTCCACTAGGAGCCCTGTTCGGCCCTGGCTCGAGGTCGACAGCCGGGAACGCGCATCAGAGCGGATTCCAAGAGCAGAAAGCGTCCTCGTCCGACTCCATCTGACCAAGAAGCTTCGACATTCAAAATCTGCAATTTCAGGCGGGATGAGTTTCTCTGAGCTCGTTAGCATGCAAGGACTCAGAAGCGTCTTCTCTAGGCACGTGCGGAACAATGCTCCATGCCTCACCCCAGCTCAAATGCTCGAAAGACTAATTGGTTCCATCGATTGCCGCGATTCCCAATCAAACAAAGGCACTTGTATGACTTTTACTTGATTGATGACATTTCAATTGAAACTACAGCTTGTTTCTGAACTTGTTTCGGATCCCTTTGTGGAACCTATAAATTTTTCATGATTTTATAGTTTTAATCCTTCATTTTTTATAGCCGGAAGAAATCCAAAGAAACAGTTTGTATGATACAGAATGCAACACATGGATTTTTGGAAACCATAATATTTTTTATAAACCCTGAAGCTTTTATTACTTTTTTTTACACTATTATAGAATGATAACTTACAAACTCGTGTTTTTACTTCAATATAATTTAATTGAATGTCAAGAGTTTGTGTATTGTGGTTTCTACCCTCTAAATTCACCTTATGTCAACAAAATATGCAAACTTGTGTGATTTTTATACTCTTAATATTTATAGTTATTGATTTTACTAATGTAAGTCGAGGATGCTGATCCACAAGTTCGCGTACCAACTTACAACAATAATTTGAAACGAATATTATAATCTGTTCTATTGTAGCTGATTACTAGATCAAAGTTATGCATCGCGATTAACGTTTGCAAAGAGTCCTTAATATCGTGCTAGCATGCGATACACTTGAAAGGTATACAGTACTTTAAAGTCACGTGACGATGTCAGGAAATATATGAAAAGAGATTACGGCATATACTTGTCCTTATATATATATATATATATGTATATATATAATTATATAATGCGAGCACTATGTAGAGTTGATTGTTGTGGATGTAATACTTATCTGGAGCCGCAGGTAGGGCTCGTTTCATCGAATCTTGGTGGATCATTTCGCTTAAAGATCGCTGAGCTTTTTTTTATTAATCTCTCGCTTATTTCCAAGCGTGTCAAAGTTTTGAGCTCTTTAGTAATTTCTCACTAATTTTCAAACGTATGAAAGTGTTGAGCTTATATCATTCACTTATGATGATGATGTTGGCTATTTCATTCATGTTAGAAAGAACTAAATAAGTACATGAGCGGTTTTAAGTCAATAACTCATGGTGGGCTTAAATTTAATAAACTCAACAAAATTTTGAAAAGTCTTTCAAGGAGCGCGATAGATTAACAAGAATGAAACCTCCCACTTTCACAATACCGTCCCCCTCCCTGTAACTATTGCAATTTATAATAAGAAATTGTAACTTTATTATACATTTAGAATTTATTTTTCTAAGACTTGCAAAGAAGATAAAAACAAAGTCTTCAACTTCACCTTATCTTAGACCACAAGTAAAACGCATCCGTGTTAAGCACGTCATCGCAGACGCGTGTCGAGGTCTGAGTACGTCTGAAGCAGGGCTCCATTGCGTGAGACCGAGACTGGGTAGCTTACTTACTACGTTCGGAGGAAATGTCGCAGTTAACGTGCAAAACTGCGTTTATGCAGATGAAGGTACTGTCCTGTAGTGGGAGAAAGCTCGTGGAGATTGAATTGATTCTCCGACCGGATCCTGATTCGGTCGATCCTCAGAGTTTATAAGCGTGCCTGCAGTGCTCCGTTTGCTCACACAGTTCGTCAGCTCACCTGCGTCTCGACTCGCGATGGCCGATTACTACATCTGACTTTCGCTTCACTGCGACGCTGGTGCTCAATCCCCTTCAGTCCTTCCTTCTGCCGGTATACGCAATGGTTGCTGCTGGGTCGCTTGTTCTTTCCTCGTCCTGTTTCTGCATTCTGGAAGCAAATTTGTGTCGATCAGGCCGAGTGCCTTGCCTGTGTGCTTGCAATGTTCGGCGGGTGCTCTTAGCTGAGGCTTCTGAGTGGTGTATCGAGGTGTATCATGACATGATTTCCGGCCTGTTCTCAGCTGCAGCATTTCATCTTCCCTCCATCCTGCACGGAACAACATCGTCATTGACAGATCGATCGTTTCGTCGGAAACTCATCAGCAGGAAAGCGTCTAGGCTCCTCGAAGAAAGGTGCGGACTGTCGACCTCAATTGTTGGCATAGGTCGAATCAGAAGTTCCAAGCTTAAACCGAGAAGAGCAGATTTGTAATTTCTCCCAGATAATTCAGACTGACCTGCTTTGTGATCATTGTAGGACACGGACGAACTAGAGAAGTGAAGAGGGAAGCAAGCAATCATGGATCAAATTACTCACAGAACGATAGAAGTGAATGGCATTCACATGCACATTGCCGAGCAAGGGACAGGGCCACTGGTTCTGCTACTCCACGGATTCCCTTGCCTCTGGTACACTTGGAGGCATCAAATCCCTGCCATTGCAAGCGCAGGCTATCATGTGGTTGCACCCGACATGAGAGGATATGGGCAGACGGAAGCACCGGCTGACCCCGCCAAGTACACCGCGTTGCACATAGCCGGAGATGTGGTTGCTTTGATCGAGGCCCTGGGAGAGAAACAAGTGTACCTTGTGGGTCATGACTGGGGAGCAGTGTCGGGATGGTACACTACTCTGTTCCGACCTGATCTCATCAAGTGCGTTGTAGATCTGTCTGCCACATTCTCCTTCGTTTATCGGCATCCCAAGCACAGCATCCTGGATATGGTGCTTGCTCAAGGTGGTGACAAAGTGTACCTCGTTCAGTGGCAAGAGCCTGGAAAGGCTGAAGCGGATCTGGGCAAGAATATCAAATTATGGTATGAGAAACTTTACACGTACAGGAGCCCCCAACTGCTCATGGCTAATGCTGAAGGCTCTGTTGTGGACAACATGCAAGCTCCGGATGCCATGCCCTCTTGGATCAGCGAGAAAGATATTCAGTATTATGTGGATAGCTTCTCAAAGACGGGTTTCACTCCAGCCTTGAACTATTACAGAAACATGAACCGAACTTGGGAGCTCTGTGCTCCATGGGCTGGAAAAGGAGTATCTGTGCCTGCACTTGTGATAATCGGTGACGAGGATTTGACCATCGGCTCTGCGAAACCCTACTTGGAGAGCCCTTTATTCAAGGCCCACATTCCTAACGGAGAATACAAAATTTTACCAGGAGTTGGACATTTTCTCCAGGAAGAAGCTAGCCAGACAATCAATGAGAGCATTATCCAATATCTGAAGAAGTTCTAGAGACGTATCAAATGTGCTCTGAACCCCGCTGAAACCGAAGTAGGTACAGAGGGGTTCTGTCAAAACATTAATAAAAAAGATGCGTGATTTCAAAACCGCCATTTGCACTCGGAATGCAAGCAGCTAACGTTACTGTCGTATCGGAGGCAATGTTGCAGCATCTCAGTCGTATTCACGCACGGATTTGTGAACGACGCACCAATGCTGGACAACAACTGAAGTGACACAACGTATTTGTGTCTCGTCCTGTCTTTGTCCAGAAACACAGTAAGAAGGTTTTGTGCCCGTCGAAAGGGTGTAGAAAATATCAATTCAGTTCAAATGAAGAGGACGGTGCTTGAAATGAAAAGGCAAGCTTGAAATGCAATATTCAGATAGATCGACAATCTGAATTTTGCAGAACGACTAGGGTGAAATCGGTGTGGCAAAACTTTTAACCCTGTTTCCGATTTTCCAATTGCTATCCTCTTGGCACCCTTCTGTTTTCTTTTCTACTGTGACGACTTTCTTCACAGGATTCACCATTGCTCTAACGTACAGCGTCCTGTTTGTTCGACTGCAGAGCTTGTTAATCCCACGTTTTCTCTCAACGTTACTTCACATTTCCTTCTTCAGTACGAGCATTATATGGAATATCCCACGAACTTATGTAAAGTAAAGGCAAAAGAAAGGCAAAGACTTTGGAAGATACAAGAACACAATGTACAGAATCAAACCCGAGAATGTAGCAGAGTTGCCCTTTCAACATCTCAACTACCTTCACAACCCCCTAGTCTGTGGTTCAACTTCACCTTCAGATCGAGTTGTGGCCTGAGTAGTTACCTCAAAAGTAGCGGATCTTAGTAGAACCCCGGCACTCAAATCAGCACTTGATGAGGGTGTACTTCAGAATCAAGATGTGCGGGCTTGCTCCACAAAGAAAGCCATTTTACCCTGCAGTTCATCTGATTCTCATCTCTTTACCTTAAGATGTAAGTTTTGTTCCGGAGACATGACGTCATCCCTGTAAACTTCATCATATACTATGCCCTCTCACTCCACTCTTGTTTGAGCTTTGATGGGAAGATGTCCTTGTGTGAACATACAAGATTATCCAAATACCGTACGATTGCGAAAACCAAACGTGACAGTTTCAGGAACATCCTTTTCACGTGTTCGATTGGGCTGTTTAACGTGTTCAATTAGGCTTTTGATTCGAGTATGGCCAGAATAAAGGTTAGATATTATCCTCTTTCTTCCAGCGCTCGTCCAATCACTTCTGAAAGTGTCTAGCCATAAATATGTCTTGTGTACAGGTGTCAGAAAGCAAATACAATGTCTCTGTTTCCTGCATTGATTGACACGTACACTTTAATCAAAAAATTGAGAGAAGCTTGATTCCCATGTTTCAGGAAAAGTAGAAAGAACGGGCAGACTCTCGGCACTCAACTAGGATAAGACAGAACTTCAAACCCCAAGTTAATCTAACTCCATCTGCATATTTGGCACATGCAGATCTTGGCTGAAATTATATGTCAATATTAATTTATGAATGTATCGATATAAATTGAAGCAGATCTTGGCTTGATTGGGAAGTTTTCTCTACATGTATGTTAGGTTGCCCTATCTCAGATAGACAGATCTTGGTCATCACGAATGAGTGCTACAAATAGTTCAAAGCACCAGGTGACCCAGTTCTCTGCCCGCAGTATAGATCCCACAGTTCAGGAGTACGTCTCTGACCTCTTTTGGAATTACGTACTTAGATTCTGATTAGAGTATTTTATGATTTTAATCAAGCCCTCCGTGTTATATCAAGTCGTTGTAGTATAGTAGTAAGTATTCCCGCCTGTCACGCGGGTGACCCGGGTTCGATCCCCGGCAGCGGCGCTCGTGTGGGTGGCATGCGCACACTCTTTTGATACGTTTGCCCATCAGAAGAAGGGCAGTTTAATGTTACTAAAACAAGAAGACAAGCACTAGACTGATGTTATAGTCTTGTTCAAACACTTGTCCCTTTCAAACTCAGTATACCAATGACTTTGGGTGACGCGTCACATATTCTTGTTGAGAAAAGAAGAAGCAGATCTTGGCTGAAATTATATGTCAATATTATTTAATGAATGTATCGATATGAATTAAGATGATGATGTTACATCAAGTTTGGTCATTTTTTCTACTATGACAAACTCATGGGCGATACGCGCATCTTTGTGCAGTATATATATACTTACTTACTTACTTACTGGGTTGATATAAAGCATGATAGCTTCAATATGAGAAGATTATGAGACTCACGATTTAATGCTAGGAGTTTTCCGTTCGTATTAACTTTCGGAATAAACTTCATATATATCCAACGCACGAAAAGCTCAGGGTTGGTGCTTAGATTTCCCCGCAAGAGGGCCTTCTAACACGGAAGTGTCACAGGCGAGGAAGGGGATTGCTCCAAGTAATGTCAACAGGAATCCTACAGGCAAAGTGCGTTCGATGCTGGAGTAAGTACAGGGCAAAAGCGATCTCGTCCCTTTCGTTCCCCATGTTGTGAGACTCCCATGTACAGGACGCGCTTACCGCCATCAGGCATAAATCAAGCGCTCCTTTCGGCGGAGACAAGGGTTAGGAACATTTACTTTTGACTCGAAGCCAAAAAGTCCTTGTGGATGAATAACCATGGACACAATGGTGTCCACATTATTCAAACATTGAAGTCTAAATGTTACGAGTCAGCTTTCATGGCGTCCTCGTCATCTCCTCCTTTCGATGTTTACATTCTCAGATGTACTTTCTAGAAAAATTGACCAACAAAATTTGGCTTGCCTCAACTCACCTCAACTTAGCAAGATTTGAGCATGACCGATATGTGGAGTACGTGTACCACATGAAAGAGCAGTGAGGATTATAAGACACCTGATTTTATGAGGACGTTAGATAAAGATCAATGACTAAAGTGCTTCAATCACGAAACACGGACCGACGTTCAGGAGTTGGGGTTTCACTCGGACCGACATCTGGGACTTTGGTTCCACTAACTAGAAGTTTACAGGAAACTTGGAGCTCTTTTCCTCACATGGCGGCAAAACAAACGGTAACAGCATGTAACGAAAGATAAAATGCGCTCGTCCACTTATGGGCCTCTTCATCGTTGATCACCTTCTGTCTAGAGTGTGCGCCTTCACTTCACTCTACTGACTGTTGCCTTTCAAGTCTACAAGGCTGTTGGATCAAATGATGACCCGTGTACATCACTAAGCTCTTGTGTGATGAAAGGGATGATTGGCTCGTAGAACTATTTCACTTCGAGGAGGAGTTTGTGCTGGGAGCCTCCGTTTTAGAACGCCAAAGCCTCTGATAGTGTGAAAACAGAGTCCAGTGAACAACACATAATTAGCTTAATTTGGTGGTCAGAGCAAAAGGAGGTGCTGGAGGTTTTTAGCCTCTTTAGTTAGGACAATGTGTACTTCATCTCATCAACCTGATGGTTTAGGCAAAAATGCCATCTCCAGTTTGAAGACCACAAACATATCTTGGTGTTTCGCTGCTCAATGGACGGGATAGTTCGTCTGAAAGTTCACAGCATTCTTCGGTTGACCAGGGAGAAAGTGCCGGCCGACAAATGAGAAGCCGGTGTAACTTGTGTTAATCATGCCAAGGGCTTCAATGTGGTGTGTTAAGTTCTCGAAACCTGGTAGACATCGAGTTTTTACAACCTGGTACTTCTCAAATGATTTAGAGATCCTCATTTTTTAAGTTTCTCTTTGAAGCTGTTAAATTGTGTTTCTTTTCTCGTTTTGTGAACGGAAGTGTCTGGTTTAGAAAAGAATTAAGGCTTCAGAAAAAATGGCGTCAGTCGAGGTCACGGGCTTTTAAGTAAAGACAATGACAGTAGAAAATATACAAGTAGGACTAATTTCTTTTAAGAATCATTGCTCCAGAACCATGATGTCTGCTCTCAATGTCATGCGGACAGTTATCCCAAAGCTCAGGCTCAGTTAAGCAGCGCCGTGTTGAATATTGTACAGAGCACAGACACACACACACACACACACACACACAGAAACAAGGTGCACTTGTGTTACTGCTTGGACATTGATAGTTGTAATTTGGGCAAGGCCATATGCTGATGATGGCACTTCATGCATGCAGATATCACTGCCATCAGCTTTCGTTGCTGGTCCATGCAGGTGCTTCGACGGAATTGAGGACGACGAGCTTCTTAATCGGTTTTTACAGGCCTCGCCATGACCAGTTGTTTGATCATCCCAAACCTGGACAGACTTCAACATCTCTTGGTGCTGATGGTTGTGCTGCTAGTGTTGTTTGGAAGTTTTTGGTGTGGAGTGATCTGCAAGCCATCACCAGAGAAAAACTCACTGTTGGACGAGACAAAGGCAAAGGTGGAAAGCTGCGGTCCGCATAGAAAACTGAAGGCAGATTCCTCCAACATCGACATCCTATCCTGTTCATGGAACTGCTCCGTGGCGACCAAACCGGTTCCTATGAATGCGACAGCAAGCCCGCAAATGGACTGCAAAGCCAATAGAGAATTCCAGATTTACACAGCACAAAACAATATCACAGTCAGTCACGTTCCCAAATTTGATGTCACAGTGTACAGTACTTGCCCGGACTGCACTGTCAGAAACGTTCACATAGAGTGCGGTGAATTCGCTTCTGCTGTACTTCCAGATCCGTGCTTGTTCCGAAGATGTGCAATCAACGACTGCCTTCAAAAAAACGGGAGCCCGATACTGCCCTTGGAAGGATTGACACTTTCGCGTACCCTTTGAAACTGAAGCCGGTGCCTGACAGCGACGTTTCGTGCACGAACGTGACAGCTGCTCGAGCGAGTAAAACCGGTGATGGCTAGATTTAGAACATGCTTTGTGCCATTAGGTCCCATCACCGTAAAATTTCCTCCGTAGCTTCATGTAATTTTGTAAAATTCTAGTATATAGATGAAAATCGATGCAGTGCTCATCATCATGCAGACAGACAGAGTCCTTGAGACTCAGTGGACAACTTTGCCCTCACGGCCTCGCTGAAGATCCCGGTGCTGCATATGATGGAAGACTTGAGTCGGTCACTCGGATTCAGACCTTGATGGAAGAG